TTAATTTTAGGGTTGCAACCCCAAACCTGGGGAGCGACCCGGACGTTTTTGCAACCAGGGCGGTGACTACGTAAACACGCCCGGGCACGCGAACCGCGCAGCCGCCACGTCTTGCACCCTAACCCAAAAAACCCTAAACCCCTGGAGAGAGGGACCCCAAGAAGCAACGCCCTACAAGCCGAAACACTAACCCTAAACCCTGAACCCTAAACTTCTAAACCCTAAACCCTGAACTCTGAGACCGCTGCCATGGTGCGCTATGGGTTTTCGCGATTCGGCCGTGGGTGTGTAGTTCAAATTAGGGTCACTTTTTGGGCGCACGAGCAGTGGGAGTTGCTCAAGCGTCCGGAACACATCCACTCGAGAAGCAAAGTCATGTTGAAATTGGAGATCGCCAAATTGCGCAACCTCCTCCCTGGATTATTGGTTTTCTATGCGAGGTCGTGCGAACTCTCAGCATTTGGAGAAGCTTCCTTGACATGCCCTCTTGTGTGGAGTGAAGAGCATAGAGCACGACATCTCAAGGTTCTGCGTCGGAGAGCATTGCTCAGTGGCAAGCGCCCTAAACCCTACACCCTTAACTCTAAAGTCCCTAAACCCTACGTCCTAGCCAGTTGAGTCCAAGTTGGTGCATGGGGCTTTGTGTGCGTGGACTTTCGGGTTCGTTCAATCATCAATGGCCCCCCTTTCCTTAACCAGAAATCCATTTTCGAACTTTAGGGCTCAGGGTACAGGGGCCCATGAAGGGGAGTTAGTGGTTTAGGATATGTGGTTTAGGGTTTAGGGTTTAGGGTTTAGGGTTTAGGGTTTAGGGTTTAGGGTTTAGGGTGAAAGTATCAGAAACCTGTTTGGAGGCTTAGAGAGGTCAAGGCCTGGGCACGAAGGATGGCGCAGGACAGAGACAAGCCTCTTCCAAGGTAAATACCCTAAGCGCTAAACCCTACAAGCCCTACACAGGGTTTAGGGTTTAGGGTTTAGGGTTTAGGGTTTAGGGTTTAGGGTTTAGGGTTTAGGGTTTAGGTGGTGTCGCTACTGCCAGCTGGCCCACCCTCTCCCCTCAGGACCCGTTAAAGGTTTAGGGTTTAGGGCTTGGACTCTGAACCCTAAACCCCCTTAAAGCCTTATACGGCGCACCGTCCCTTCGGCTGCCAACCTCCGAACCTCCTCCGCATCTGCACTTGATCCTTCCCCCCCTAGGGAGGGTCCACGTTTCTAATGTAGTGATTCAGGTTTTTAGGCTTTAGGGTTTAGGGTTTAGGGTTAAATTCCTTAATTGCCGGCGGCCTACCTTATTTAGGGTAGTTACCCAAAAAGGGCAATAGTTTTGAGTATACCATACACTTGGGCCCGAGAGGCAGTAGATGGGAACTCCTTTCGGGCCCAAGTTATATGAAAGCATGGACCCTTGCGGGTCATCAATTTCATGACCCCTAAGGGTAAATTTGACGCTCAGAACGTGTCTTAACGCCGCGTCCTTATCCCTACAGGTCGCCATTTTGGCTGGGGTCTCGGCTTTACGTTGCCCGACTCAAAACATAGCCCGCCACAAAATGGAACCCCACGAAAAGAAAGAGGCCACACCCTAAACCCCAAACCCTCATGCAGTCGAAGAGACACCCTGAACTTTAAAACCTCCAAGCCCCAAACCCTATACCCTAAACCCTACATCCTAGCGCCCTAAGGGCCAGCAGCCTCCCCACGACTTGGACTCCGCGTGCGCACATGCCGGTGGACGTGATGTGGGCAGGCCTCGCGTGGATGTGCAGCAAAGGAACCCGGCCCGAGTCAGCACCGGCCGTGCCATGGAACCAACTACCCTCGGGGTCCATGTACCCATATAGTAGATACTTGGGCCTTAAAGCTACTTTAGACGCACCTCTTTAAGGCCCAAGTATATACTACATGCGTAGTACATGGACCTTTTGGGCTAGCAGAGAACCGCTTCATGCTGGGAATGCACTTCCAGCGAAGCTTCGGGTTTCAGAGGTTCGAGCACGAGCTATCCGTTCTCGAGGCAGGTACTGTTGCAATACTGTGGGTTTAGGGTTCTATAGGGTGTATGGTTTATAAGATTCGCCCATGAGCCTGGACCCTTCAAGCGGAATAGGGTTCAGGATTCAGGGCTGTTTTGAGGTTCGGAGTGATTCTGGTGGGGTTGGAGAGTTTAGGGTTTATAGGGTTTAGGGTTTAGGGTTTAGATCGCGTTGAGGAGGTTTTTAGAGTGTGGCTGGGCCCAGAGACCCCGAAGTAAGACAGTCCCTTGAGCCTTCGAACCCCGCGCCCACGGGCGTCCCCTAAACCCTAAACCCTAAACCCTTAACCCTTGACCCTTAACCCTTAACCCTTAACTCTTAACCCTTAACCCTTAACCCTAAACCCTTAACCCTAAACCCTTAACCCTTAACCCTTAACCCTTAAACCCTAAACCTTACACCCTAAACCCTAAACCCTAAACCCGCGTCCGCGTGCGCCAGGGGTCCTCGCCTGTCGCTTCTTGCCGGTGGCAGACATGCCCCGATCCCGATCAGGGCTTGGGGGCTAACTATGGGGTTTAGGGTTTAGGGTTTAGGGTTTAGGGTTTAGGGTTTAGGGTTTAGGGTTTAGGGTTGGAGGTTCATGGTACTTATAACCCAACAATAACTGCAGTTATATCCCGCTTAGAAGCCCCTTAAGTGTTCTAATGTGGTTATATTTGGGTCAAAAGTACAGTTAGAATTGGGTTATTAAGTACCGTGAATCTCAGAGTAGGATTCAGAGTTTCGGGTGTGATCTTGGGGTCGTTTCGTGGCCCCTCTATGTGGTCCCTGACCCTCTCTTCAAAGGGTTCCGATGTCTGAGCCTCGGGTTGCACAGGGGTATGGGGGGTCCCTTACCTAAGCCTGCGAATTGGACAAGTTTGTTTCATAATACCTGCCCTATATGTTGTTTTTTTTTTTTTTTTTTTTTGTGGGGGGGGGGGGGGGGGCTTCTAAATTTTTACATGGGGCGCAGAAATCAGGGACCATAATTTAGAGAGCTGCCAAACCTGGATCACTGAACCCTAAACCCTAAACCCAAGTCCCTGATCCATCCCTGAACCGGGCGGTCCTCCAAACCCCTACCCTTAACCCTAAACCCTAAACCGTAAACCCTAAACCCTAAACCCCTCACGCATGGCTCGGATCAAGCAAATAGCCTGGCCAGTAGCTGGCACGCCCAGTCGGGGAGGGTTTCTTCTGAACTGGGCGCCCTTTTCAGGGGTTTAGGGTTTAGGGTTTAGGGTTTAGGGTTTAGGGTTTAGGGTTTAGGGCTCCGGGGCCCTCCCAGGTGTGTTAGGGTGCCCGCAACGTTTCGGGAGCTGGCCATGTGACCCTCCTTTCCGACGGAGACGTCGGAGGCCTCGGAGGCAGCCGGGAGCCTCAGGGCCAGCTCCCAGCCGCCTGGATGCCTTAGTGGTGGGGTTTAGGGTTTAGGGTTTAGTTTAGGGTTTAGGGTCTAGGGTTTAGGGTTTAGGGGTAGGGTTTAGGCTTTAGGCTTTAGGCTTTAGGCTTTAGGCTTTAGGCTTTAGGCTTTAGGCTTTAGGCTTTAGGCTTTAGGCTTTAGGCTTTGGGCTTTGGGCTTTAGGCTTTAGGCTTTAGGCTTTAGGCTTTAGGGTTAGAGTAGGTAGACTTTAACCTTTTGTGGGGGGGGGGGGGGGGTATTTTAATCCCTATAAAGCCCTAAAGGTTAACCTTTAATTCCCCAGGTTACTGGACAACTAAGATGCCCAGTGGTACAGTGATTTCCCTGGTTGCTTGGGGGTTTAGGGTTTAGGGTTTAGGTTTGGGGTTTCCCTTTTTGTGCTGAAGAACCACACCCCCAAGAATGCAATCTGCTTCCTTATGGGATTATTGTCTTGGATTCTTTGGGGGGTTCTCAAGAAAATTGTAGAGAACCCTAACCGCTAAACACTAAACCCTAAACCCTAAACCCTAAACCCTTAACGGTTCTTAAACCCTGAATTGCACCCTTTCTTTATCAACACCTAGAGCTCCTCTTTTTTTCCCTTCCAAAGAAGGTTATTCTGGGCCTTGGAGTCCTACACTTTAATACTTTTTTTTTGGTTCTGGGTTCCTATAATAGGTACTTAAAAGGCCCTGAACCCTAAACCCTAAACCCAACCCTTAAAAGTATATACTTTATTTCCAGGGTCTACTCCAAAGCTAAGTATTGGATCCAACCGAGGCCTGTGGCTTCGAACAGAGGGATCCTGAGCTGCAGCCTGGATCTGTTTAGGGTTTAGGGTTTAGTTTTTAGGGTTTAGGGTTTAGGGTTTTAGGGTTTAGGGTTTCAGGGTTTAGGGTTTAGGGTTTAGGGTTTAGGGCCTTTTTTTCCGGTTTTGAGGGTTTTACGGTTCGGTTTGGGGTTTAGGGTTCCTGTCTCTGCGCCTGCAAGATGTTGAGTTCGTTTGCTCTAGTCTCTGAAACCAAACGCCCCCACACAGAGCCCCAACCCTAAACCCTAAACCGTAAACCCATGTCTTCTGGAAAATTTAGCACGCAGGCCATCAAGTACTGAGGGGTTTCGGGCAAGTGCTGTTGGACGCAGAAGTTGCAGCTGCCGTTTCGGGTTGAGGGCTTGGGGTTCCCGAAACCCTAAACCCTAAACCCTGAACCGCAAACCCTGAACCCTAAAACCCTAAAACCCTAAAACCCTAAAACCCTAAACCCTAAACCCTACACCCTAAAGCCTGCAAACCCCAAAAACACCCAAACTCTGAACCCTAAACCCTAAACCCTGAACCCTAAACCCTGAACCCTAAACCCTAAACCCTAAACCCTAAACCCTAAACCCTAAACCCTAAACCCTAAACCCTAACCTAAACCCTAAACCCTAAACCCTAAACCCTAAACCCTAAACCCTAAACCCTAAACCCTAAACCCTAAACCCTAAACCCTAAACCCTAAACCCTAAACCCTAACCCAGACCTGCCAGGCAAGAGGCATGGCAGGTGGCGGGATGCCCTGCAGCTCCTGGCATGGATGCCTTGCGAGCAGGTCCGGAGGGATGCAGTGAGCTTCAGCGGCACCTTGGCTCGGAGTTGGGGTTTAGGGTTTAGGGTTTAGGGTTTAGGGTTTAGGGTTTAGGGTTTAGGGTTTAGGGTTTAGGGTTTAGGGTTTAGGGTTTAGGGTTTAGGGTTTAGGGTTTTCTAGGGTTCAGGGTTCAGTGTTTAGGGTTTGAGGGCTCTGGGATGTTGTGGGACTCTTTCGGGCTTGCAGTAAACCTATGAAACCTATGAGCTCCATCAGCCCTATAAAGCCCTATGAAAGCTCATGAAAACCCTTTAATTAAAGACCCCATAAACACCCATCAAAAACTCATCTACAAAGAGCCCTACAACCCCACCAAACCACACGAACCCCATGGAGCCCAGCACCAGGCACCATCACCGCCTGCGAGCGGCGTAGCCGTTGGCCTGATGCTTTGGAGGTGATCTCCTTCCAGGAGTCTCATCCGCAGCTTGGCCGGCTCGAAATTCGGATTTTTGTGGGGATTAAAGGGGTTTATTAAGTGTTTACAGGGGTTTGTAAGGGTTTGCAAGAGTTTATCGGGATTTAGAGGGGTTTGAGGGATTTGGGGTTTACGGGTTGAAAGGGGTTTAAGGGCTTTAAGGGGTTCACAAGGGTTTTGTTAGGGGCTTAAGGGTTCAAGAGTTTTGGGGTCTAAGGGTTTAGCGCATGCGGCTTGCGTGCCTTCGGGGAGTTGCTGGGCTCACGGTCTAGAGCCCGAACCCCCGAAACCCCTAAAACTCCTATCGCTCCATCCCCCCCTCTAAAACCCTAGCCCCTAAACCCTTAACCGCCTAAACCCTAAACCCCCTAAGCCCTAAACCCGAAACCCTAAACCCCCCTATATAACCCCCCACAGTAAACCGAATCCCTTGAGTCCCCATGGACCCAGGAGCTTCGGCGTCTTCAGCTGCACCAGCACCTGGGCGCGCTTCGGGATGCCTGTTAACTTCCCTGCTCCACATACAAGAGAACATTTTCCCTAAACCCTAAACCCTAAACCCTAAACCCCAAATCCTAAACCCTAAACCCTAAACCCTAAACCCTAAACCCTAAACCCTAAACCCTAAACCCTAAACCCTAAACCCCGGTTTCAGAGGCATGGAAGCACGACTCAGGCACGATCACTGGCTGTGCCAAGGAGGAGAGTTGGCACAGGGGACTGGCGCTCTTCGGCACCTGAGCTGGGTTTTTAGTCTAGGACCCAGTTTAGGGCTTAGGGTTGAGGGTTGAGGGTTGAGGGTTGAAGGTTTAGGGTTTAGGGTTTAGGGTTTAGGGTTTAGGGGCATTCGGGGGAATATTTGTTAGTTTTTGGCTGCTGCAACTGCTAAGGGCTCCAAGTTCAGTATAGTTTTGGTGTACTATACTTTAGTACGTTGTTTGGTGCTGGGTTCCTTTTAGAGCTACTTACATCGACCGGAAAATATCTACTCCTTCCCAGGGTCTACTCCAAAGTAGGGTGAGGTATCAATTGGCACTTTGTTTTTTGCCATAGTGGGCAACATTTCCCTTTTTGAGGGCACTTAAAAAACTCAATAAGGAATAGAAGACAATATTTGTTTTCATTAAATGCTCTCCCAACCATGAACTAGTTTTGGGTAAAGGGTTTAGGGTAAAGAGTTTAGGGTTTTGGTTTCGATTTTCCTTTTGGTTGTATAGGGGATACCAGTTTCTAAACGAAGTTACATGGCCCCTGACTATGGTCCCTTACCTCCTTTAAAGGCTTCTGAAGTATGGGCCCTTGGGTTTTGGTATATGAGTTGGTGCATACAGATTTCCCAAGTCAGGGCCCACATTAAACAAGGGGGGGCACCCTGGATTACAACCTAAGTTGTCCTACCCTTCTTACGCCTGTACTTGTCACTTTGGGGGTCCTTCCTTGTAGACCCGATTTGGCGATGGATTTAAGATTTTTGGTTGACCTCTGTTAAAACACCACCCCCCCCCCCCAAGATGGACGTGCTGAACCTGTCTTTGCTTTTGTTGGGCGGCGGATTCCCGCAGCTTGCCTGGTTCTTAGGGAAGCACAATTGCGATTGGCCGCAACCTCTATTATTATCATTATTATTATTATTGTTATTATGTTTGCTAATATTCTTGTTAGTTTTTGCATATGTGTGTTTTTTTGTTTTGTGGGGGGGGGGGGGTTGCTAATGGCCCTAAACCGTACATGCTGAATCCTAAACAGCTGTTTATGGCAAACCCCCAAACCCTAAAAAGCAAGGCCTCATGCGGGATTTTTCCCTGTGATACTGACAGTCCTTAACAGGATTATAGTAAGGGGATACATTAATCCTGTCAAGGACTGTTAGTATAAGGGGGAGCATCCTAAACCCTAAACCCCAAACCCTAAACCCTAAGTATCAGTTGGAGCATCCCAAGGCCTGATGCCTGCCGCCCGAGTGGTTCCAAATGTTGCTGTTGCGAACTCGGCCATGCGGGCCTTCGAAGCATGGCGGCAATGTAGGGTTTTCTCGTCTTTGTTTGTTTGTTTCCTTGCTTTATTGTAGATTTGTTTGCAGGTTTTTAGGCTTTTTGTTAAAGGGTTGTTGGGGATTTTCTGGGTTTTTTTGAGGGTTTTTAGTTGTATGTTGTAAGGCCTTCCGGATGTAGATTTTAGGGTGCGCAGCATGTAGGGTTTAAGGGGTTAGCTTGGCTTCTGACTGGGCGTTGGGTTTGAGAGGCTCAGATCTAGACTTTGTGAAGAGGGTGTAGGGGGCCAACCCAATGTAGGCCCTTGGAATTGTTTTACGTGTTCCTATCGGGCTTAGGAGGATTGTTTTACGGATCCTTTTCAGATTGTTTTTAGGGCCCTCCAGGAGCCTATGGTACCAAACTACTACCCAAGGGTCCATTTGTAGTGCCATTGCGGACTGAGTTGCCCAGAAACCGCACGAAAGAGAAGTGTTTTTTTTTGTTTTCTGGGGCGGGGGGGGGGGGAGGGGTGGTGCTCCCTGCTGAATCCTTCATTGGCACAAAAGGGGCCCTCTCGAGCCAATTGAAAAGCCCCAGACCCTGAAGCCCGTCTGATTTTGTTTCCTAGACCGACCTTGAAACCCTTACACGCAGAGCGCTTAAAGCCTAAAGGCCCTCAACTCTTGACTCTAAACCCCCAAACCCGAAACCCAAACCCCAAACCCTAAACCCTAAACCCTAGAAACCCCAGTTCTCAGAACTCTGGAGGAGCGAGGAGCGCAGTGGCAGCCTGCTGTGGAGATGTTGGGCAGGACATCTCTCCGAGATGCCACTGGGCTTAGGTGACTTAGGTGTTAGGGTTTAGGGTTTAAAGGTTTAGGGCCTTGGGATGCTCCAGCTGATACTTAGGCTTAGGGCTTAGGGCTTAGGGCTTAGGGCTTAGGGCTTAGGGCTTAGGGCTTAGGGCTTAGGGCTTAGGGCTTAGGGTTCAGGGTTTAGGGTTTAGGGTTTAGGGTTCAGGGTTAGGGTTTATAAATTGGTATGTTCTCCCTTATACGAACTGTCCGTAAGAGGGACTAGAGTACCCCTCATTGCAATCCCTGTTAAAAACTGCTAGTATAAGGCGGAGCATCCCAACTTCTAGACCCTAAACCCTAGACCGTAACCCTTCTTCCTTCTAAACAGCTAATCCTCTGTCGCGAAGCTCAAGTCTATGTGCCCCCCCCCCCCACACACACCAAAAAAAAAGTCTCTCATTGTGCGTGTGGGCGTGTGGGCGTGCGGGTGCGGGTGCGGGTGCGGGTGTGTGTGTGTGTGGGTACGACCGGGGTGATCTAAGCGTTGGCTGTCCTCAGGTCATCAGCTTCGGCACCGGTGTCAGTGCCTGCGAGCGCTTGGGCCAATGGCTTCAGGCGCTGGCGGCCCTCACCGGCATGGTGTGGCTGCGCTTTTTGCCCGATCTCATCACCTGCAACTAGGACCAAGAGTAGGGTTTAGGGTTTAGGGTTAAGGGTTAGGGTTTAGGGTTTAGGGTTTGGGGTTTGGGGTTTAGGGTTTAGGGTTTGGGGTCTAGGGTCTAGGGTCCAGGCAATGCTGCCATCAGCGCCGTCCGGCTGTCATCGGACGGCTGGATGACGGCCGCCTCCCTCCTCCGGAGTGCCAGAGAGGCCAATTTGCGCTTGGATGCCGTGAGCTACAGCGCCCTGGGCCTGGACGCCCATGGCGGATGGAGACTTGGTGGCCCAGGTGGTACCCCTTTTCCCCTCTTTTTTGGGTTCAAAGGTTCTCTTCTAAAGTAACCGAATCCCAAGTCTAAGAAAGGGTACCCTTGCTATAGTATGGCTACTGATACTGGGCTACCAAGGAGATGGACCCTGCAGCTGCTACCCCACATGCGGCTCGAGCTCATCGAGGTGGATGTCGTCAGCCACGGCGTTGTCATGAGCAGCTTGGAGAAACTCGGCAGGCCCTTGGGACATTTTTATATATGTTCCCTTCTATATTGAGTTCAAGAGGATCACATTCTAGGAATATCCCTGAACCCTAAACCCTAAACCCTAAAAAGGAGATAAATTTCAGGATCATATTCAGGAATATCCCTAAACATTAAACCCTAAACCCGAAACCCGAAACCCTAAACCCTAAACCCTACAAAGGGGGGGTTTTAGGGCCCTCCGAGGAAAGCGAGTCGCTGGCAGGGCGCGCTGCGCCTGCTTGATGTGTTGGCGAACCTTAGGGCCTACTTTGGGGTTTAGGGTTTAGGGTTTAGGGTTAGGGTTTAGGGTTTAGGGTTGAGGGTTGAGGGTTGAGGGTTGAGGGTTGAGGGTTGAGGGATTAAAGTTTAGGGTTTAAAGTTTAGGGTTTAGGGTTTAGGGCTTAGGTTTAAGGATTTAGGTTTTAGGTTTTAGGGTTAAGCCTTTTTGGTGAAACAAAAAAAGAGTCTTAAAGTGTATAGAAGGTTCTAAACCTTTTTTGGGCTCCTTTTTTGGTTTTATAGACTTTTACCATGTGCCTAAAAAGGCTAGACCTTTTTGGGGCTGTAGGGTATTCAGCCCCTAAGGAACTCGACAGCCACCGACGTGCGGAGCTACAGCAGTGCCATCAGCGCGTGTGCACGGAGCAGTCAGCGAGCCGAGGCATGTCATATGGGGGTTGGAATGGTTTAGGGTTTGGGGCTTTGGGGTTTCGGGTGTAGGGTTTAGGGTTGAGGGTTCAGGGTTTAGGGTTTAGGGTTTAGGGTAAATTGCTAATCGTATTCCCTTATGGTTCCTTTCTACATATACTAGAATACCCCCCAAAACCCTGTACTAATTTGTAAGGCCCCTTATAGTAGCTTCCAGTGTCGTCGTTCAGAGAGAGTTGCGCTATGGAGCTATCGGCACGTGCATGCCGACACAACTTGGAAGACGTAATGCAACCCTATTCTTCCAGAGAACAGGTAGGTTGGTTACTAGATTTCTTAAGGGTGCCATTAATTAGGTCCCTTGAAGTGTGTGGTTAAGATGGTAAGAATGAAATGCAGGCCTTTGCCATTCTTGACTCCATGGAAGATCACTCGCTCCTTGGTCCCAAATGGGAGGGTTTAAGGTTTAGGGTTTAGGGTTCAGGGTTCAGGGTTTTGGGTTGAGTGTTTAGGGTTTATGGTGACATCCAAAGGTTTCGGGTCTCGGGTCATAGGTTTTGGGTGATTGGCTTCGTTGCAAATACATTTGCGAAGCCCCACGGCCTGTAAACGAATACGAGGTAAACCCTAAATACTCCCTAATCGTAGCAACCTATTCGGAAACACTTAATCTTAGAGGGGTAGAGGGGATAACATTGGGGGGACCTCCAACCGCAATCCCTAATCCCTAAACCCTAAACCCGAAACCCTAAACCCTAAACCCCGAAGTAGGTTCCGACCTAACCTCGTCTGCTACTGCTCGGTGATCACCGCTTGCGAGCGAAGCGGCGAGTGGGAGCTGGCTTTGGCAGTTCCTCAGCTTACTGCTTGTTAGTAGGAAATTGTTTAGGGTTTAGGGCTTAGGGTTTAGGGTTCAGGGTTTAGGGTTTAGGGTTTAGGGTTTAGGTAATTTGGAGATTCGGTACCCCATGCGAGGAAGTTAGGGCACCTTGTTTCGGGGCTCCCCATCATCGTGTGGAGCCTTCCTTGTAGGTGAGGCTTTCCGAGTGTGCCCAAAAATCATGGGTTCCCCTACTACCCCCTCCATACTACCACTACCCTTCCTAGGTTCTCCCCTAAAATTCCCTTAATCAGACTACCCCCCCCTAGGTCCCCCTTTTAAGACCCCTCAAGTCGACTTAAATATCCCTAAATAAGAGGAACGATACGTCAGAACTGACCAGGTACCGCGTGGAGTGATGAAGTGGCTGTAGAAGATTAGGGGCAAACCCTAAACCCCTACACCCTAAACTTGGGTCAAAGGATTAGGGTTACCCGGCGTGTCGTTGGGGGTTTAGGCAGGGCTTTTAGGTTCCAGGGATGAAGATCCCCTCAACCCAAAAACTCAATCCTTAAACCCAAAACCCTCACCCTAAACCCTAAACCCTAAACCCTAAACCCTAAACCCTAAACCCTAAACCCTAAACCCTAAACCCTAAACCCTAAACCCTAAACCCTAAACCCTAAACCCTAAACCCTAAGCCTCCTATAGGTTCTGTCGGCCATGCCAGCGGCTCGGGTGGTTCCAGATACCATCAGCTACAGCAGTGTCATCAGCGCGATGGCTTCCTGCCTGCAGGGTTTAGGGTTTGGGGTTTGGGGTTTGGGGTTTGGGGTTTGGGGTTTGGGGTTTGGGGTTTGGGGTTTGGGGTTTGGGGTTTGGGGTTTGGGGTTTAGGGTTTAGGGTTTAGGGTTTAGGGTTTAGGGTTTTAGGCTTAGGGTTCAGGGTTTAGGGTGAAGGGTTTAGGAGGAGTAGACCGCAGGAGAAGGCTGCTCAGTGGCAGCTGGCCTTAGCGCTGCTTCTCACTATGGGCGCCTCGAGCGCTACGCCGAACCTTGATAGCCCAGAGGTACCCTTTTCCTTTTTTTTGGGGTTCAGGATTCAGGGTTTAGGGTTTCGGGTTAGGGTTTAGGGTTTAGGGGGCTTCCCCTACAAAGTAACCAGCCCAAAATAGGGTTCCCTTATTCTGATATGGCTACTGGGCTGCCAAGGAGTGGTTTTGAGTCCTTTTTAAAGTATGGTTAAACTGCGCTACCAAGGAACGCGATCTCCTTCAATGCCGGCATCAGCGCATGTGGGGCTTGTCCGAAACCCTTGGGAATCAAATGAACCCAAAATCGGATTTGGTTCATTTCCCATAAATACTGGGTAGGAAGTGTAGTAGTATAGGGTATATGACCCCAATGTTAGGGTTCGTGTGGTCCCGTTTTGGGTTTCGCTATTTTTGAGGGCACCATATGCCCTTAAGCCTTATGTAAACCCTAGGGATCTCCCCCGCAGAGCCCAAAGAGCCCAATACCAGATAAAGGGGGGGGGGGGGGGGGGGACAGCCAGGAAGGTAGGAAAACAGGGCAGGAAACATGGCAAGTAGGCTGGCCTGCCTCACATGCTGTCCTAAACCCTAAACCCCAAACCCCAAACCCTAAACCCTAAACCCTAAACCCTAAATTGGGGGAGGGCCTTTATGCTTCCCAGACTCCTATGGCCTGAAACCTCGAGAGATATGTACTATAAGGTTCAGGGGTTTAGGGCTATTCCCTACCTTAAGAAGCCAAAACCTACTTTGTTGCGGGTTTTTTGCTAGAGAGCCCCTTCGAGGACAGTTCGGTATCCTGCAAACACGTAGGTTCTGAGGTTCTGAGGGGTAAGGCAGATTCCTTACTTGAGGGGGTGCTTATGTGGCTGTCTGGGGATTCAGGGTTGGGATTTGGGTCTGGAAGTGTGGGGGTGGTTTTTTGGCTTACAGGGTTTAGGGGACAGCGATGCCTGCAACCACATGAGCTTAAAATCACTGAGCTAATTCGTTTGCGTTTTTTTTTTCTTCGGGGGGAGGGGGGGGGGGTGGGGGGATACTGTTCTGAGGTCAACATTCAAGTCCAGGAAGCCCCAAACCCTAAAACACAAGCCCCAGAGCCGATGAGTTTCTGGCCTACGGGTTTTTGGGGTTTAGGGTTTCCCTGAACCCTAGTTTATGGTTTAGCGCTTTGTAGCCCTTAAACCGAAAGCCTAAACGGCCTACAAGGCGCGCTCCTAAAAGGTGAGCAGCGCGGTCGTTGGCAGGTGGCCGCCTCCTTGCTGGATCTTCTTCTGCAGTCCGGGCTGCAGCCAGACACGGCCGGGTGAGGGTTTAGGGTTTAGGGTTTAGGGTTTAGGGCTTTGGGGCTTTAGGGCTTTGGGGCTTTAGGGCTTTAGGGCTTTAGTGTTTTAGGGTTTAGGGTTTAGGGTTACAGGGTGGAGGGCTTGACGTTTCTGGTCTAGGAGGCTGGGCGAACTCGAGGTTGGAGATTTCAGGGTTTAGGGTTTAGGGTTTAGGGTTCAGGGGGGATTTCTCGTAAATTTCTGATCCTCACCTTCGAACTTGGCGCAGTGCTTTCTAGGACTGCTTAGGGCTGGGGACGCCGGCCTTTCTCGCATCAACAAGGTCTGCTGGATTCGGGTAGGTTCCTTTGATGCCTATAAACCCTAAACAGCCTAAACCCCAAACCCTGAAGCTTTGTTTCCATTGCAATCCTCTTTATGGGCCCTGAATTCTGCTCTGCTCGACACCAGGACAACAAAATCGAGGGCATTGCACACAGCACACTGTGAGCAATGTCGGTATCCCTGCCGTACTTTTCGCAAACCGTGCTCTCAGTCGATCTTGAACATAAACACCAAACTACTTTTTGCGTAGTAAGAACCCCCAAAAAAAAAGAATAATAATCCCCATATTGCCTTATTAAGGAAGAGTATTTTGGTTTTCGGGTGGTTCTTAGGCAAATAGTAGCAAAAAAAGTCTCCGCCACTCCCTCCCCCCCCTCCCCTGGAATCCACCCTGGCAGGTGAGCTACAACAGTGCACTGAGCAGTTGCAACTCAGCTCTTGGCAAGCGCGAGTTGCGCTTTAAGACCCTATACAGCCTAAAACCCTAAACCCTAAACCCTGAAGAACTGAACTGCAAGCCCCTGGTCTTAACTTCCCGACAGTCAGACACCGGATGTACAACCCGATAGCCCCCAGACCCTTTAGATTCTCTACGGGTAGTTGTAGGCCGAAGTCTCTGCGGGAAGCTTCACGGACCCTGAATATGCTCCTTTAGGTTTACGATTTAGGTTATTGGGTTTAGTGAAGACTCATGGTCCCTGAATTTGGTCCCTTACCTTCGTTAAAGGGTGCTGAAGTATGGGCCCCTGGGCTGTTTCGGGTATATGAGGGGCATGCAAGGATTCACCCTTGCTGAAGCGTTTTTTTTTGTTCACAAGCTAGGGGCAGCCCTTTTTCCACCCTTTCTGCTTAGGGTCTGCAGTCAAGGGGGTCCTACAATGAGGATTATGGTAGCTAGTTTTGGGGAAGCTTCGTTGCCCTAGTGGAACATCGGGACATAGATCGCCTTCGAGAAGAGGCTGAGGTCTTTGCCCTAGACCTGCTAGTCAGTTTACAAGTGACAGGCAATGCCTACTTTGGGACCTACAGTCTCGAATCCACGGCCTCAACCCTGAACCCCTAAACCCCCAAACCCTGAACCCCTAAACCTTCAACCCCTAAACCCTAAACCCTAGACCCTCAACCCCTAAACCCTAAACCCTCAACCCCTGAACCCTAAACCCTCAACCCCTAAACCCTAAACCCTAAACCCTAAACCCTAAACCCTAGGCGTTTTAGGGCTTCTCGGCCTCCTGGCCAAGGTGAGAAGGCTCAAAAATGGCGGCCTGCCGCGCACCTGCTCCTTTCATGAACCACTAGTTAGGGTTTAGGGTTTAGGGTTTAGGGTTTAGGGTTTAGGGTTTAGGGTTTAGGGTTTAGGGTTTAGGGTTTAGGGTTTAGGGTTTAGCGTGTAGGGTTAGGGGCTTTAGGGTTTTGTAACAGTCGCTAACTCCCCAAGCCCTTCATGTCCACTTAAGAGGGCCTCAAAGAGGGCCTCAGCAGGACTCCATCTATGGAGTTGGGAGGACTCATTGGAGGATTTCGTACGTGAAGCCTCAGGAGGCCTAACTACCCTTAGCCAGGATGCCCATTCCTTCCCTCCCTGTCTGTGTTTTGAAAGGTCCCTCATAAACCCAGGTGTTTTTTTTTTGTATTCGCTTTCTGGGGAACCCGGCAAACAGGTGTTCAGGGAACCACTCATCACGGAGTATACGTTAGGGGGCCTCAAGCAGATGTAAATACAAATACATATACATACACATACACATATACATATACATATACATACACATACACATACACATACGCACACACTTAGCTATTTGTTCATGAACCCCACATGCAGCCCAAAACCTGAAGTGAAGCTCTGATGAGCCGTGAACTTCTGGCTTTGAAGATGTGTTGCTCCTTGGTTTCACGATCTTGCAGCCCCAAGTTCATGGGTTTCCCTACTACCCCCCTCTATACTTAGGGCTTAGGGCTTAGGGTTTAGGGTTTAGGGTTTAGGTTCCCCCTGAAGTAGCCTTAAGTAGGCTGAATTAGCAACCCATGGCAAGTGTATAAGGTTTGGGGTCCGGGGTGTGCCCTGATTTGCGGGTCAGGTTCCCTTAATCCTAAACCCTAAGCCCTAAACCCTAAACCCTAAGCCAAAAGCCCTAAACCCTAAACCCTAACCCTAAACCCAAGTTTAGGGCTGGGGAAGAGTCTCTCAGCAGCCAAGGCTTCAGGAACTGGCCGGAAGGGAATTGCAACCCAACGCTTCCTGATTGCATTCATACCTTGAACCCTAAACCCCAGACCCTAAACCCCTAACCCTCAGCCCTAAACCCTAAACCCCAAACCCCTGATCTCAAGATTCACGGTGTAGGGGGGATAAGAGGCCTTGCTGCATGGACTGCTTTGCCCCAAAAGCTTGAAACCAGGATATCCGGATACAATGACGTTGGGATGTTCCCCTGATGCTAACAGTCCTTGATACAGGGATTGTCGTACCCCCGATTAGGGTTTAGGGTTTAGGGTTTAGGGTTTAGGGTTTAGGGTTTAGGGTTTAGGGTTTAGGGCTTAGGGCTTAGGGTTTAGGGTTTAGGGTTTAGGGTTATAATCCCTATTAAGGACTTTTAGCGCCAGGGGGAACATCCCAACAAGGGTTTCCGGTCTAGGGCTCAAGCCCCGCCAGTGGTGTCCTTGGTTTAGGGTTTAGGGTTTAGGGTTTAGGGTTTAGGGTTCAGGGTGTGCAGGGGCCTCCCTTGACAAAGGCAACATGCAGCAGACGAGTTGGCACCCTTTGTACTTCTAGGTTCCTGGGAGATCTTTCTGGCGCTAAGCCCTCAACTCTAGACACTAAACCCTAAACCCGAAACCCTAAACCCTAAACCCTGCAACCACAAGTGCTGGGGGTCGGGCTGAGGGGTTAGGAGCTGGGAACGATGCAGGCCATCACCTTCGGCGCCCTCCTGGGCGCCAGCAAGCAGGCCTGGCAGAAGGCCCTGCCGTGCTGAGATTCAATTTCGGTATAGGGTTTAGGGTTTAGGGTTGAGGGTTTCGGGTTTCGGGTTTCGGGTTTGGGGTTTCGAGGGCTGAGGCGTGCATCCAGCTGTGTTCTCCGCTTCTGCTGGAGCTAGCGGCGCCCGCTGTCGCGCGCTCGCGGAGCGGAGCAAGTAGTCCCACCCCGACCACAAGTCTCAGGTACAGGGCTAACCCCACGGTGCGGCACCTTGCTTCTTGTTAGACTCTGCACCCAAACCCTAAAAACTCTAAACCCTAATTCCTGCGCCGGCCCTTTTGCAGCGGCTTGCGGCACCCTGAATCAAATCCTGAACCCTGAACCCTAAACCCCAAAGCCCCTGAGGCCCCTAAAACCCCCAAAGCCCTTAAACCCCTAGAACCCCTAACGCCCCCAAAGCCCCTAAACCCAAAACCCGCAAAACCCCCAAAGCCCCAAAGCCCACTAAACCCCTAAACCCTAAACCCTAAACCCTAACAACCCTAAACCCTAAACCCTAAACCCTGCAAGCGTCGGCAGGCGGGGTGGCTTCTGGCATCCATGCCTGGGCACCGTGCCATGGCCAGGAGCAGTTGAGGGCCAGGTGTGGTGTGGGTTATAGGGTTTAGGGTTTAGGGTTTAGGGTTACAGGGTTATAGGGTTTTTGGGGTTTGGGGTTTTAGGAGATTTAGGTTTGGGGCTTGGGGGTATGGGGTTTAGGGTTTAGGGTTGTAGGGTTTTTGGGGTTTGGGGTTTTAGGAGGTTAGGTTTGGGGTTTGGGGTTTAGTCTTCTGATTGTGTGATTTAGGTGCCGAGGCTTCAACATTGCAATCCCGCCCCCTCCCCTGGACAAGAAAGGACAGGCTTTGAACTTCTCAAACTGTATTGTTGTATCACCAAAATGAAGTTTGACCTTTCTTGGTTCAGGGTGCTGGACGCCTGTATGAGCAATGTAGCAAAGGTGAATCAACTGTGCACATTTTGAGAAGGAGCCTCCACCAAGAACCTACTTCTCAGGAACCCCAAATCCTAGACTAGACCCTAGGCCCCAGTCCCCAGACCCTAGACGCCAGACACTAGACCCCAGACGACCCCAGACCCTAGACCCTAGACCCCAGACCCAATCTTCCCTGGATGCAGGTGATTGTGTCCCGTACAGGGTTAATTCTTGAAGAGGATCCCTGGGATCCCTAGACCCTGAACCCTGAACCCTAACCCTAAACCCCCTAAACCCCAAACCCGAAACCCTAAACCCTAACCCCTACCCCTAAACCCTATAAGCCCCAAAATCCTTTAGAGGGCCAACTAAAGGCATTTCAACTCTGACACTGGAAAGGCGCACTATAAGTATTTCAAACAAAGACGGAACGCCCAAAACCCTAAACCCTAAACCCTAAACCCTCGACCGTAATCAACTCCATGCTACAGACCGAAGCCCTGAACAGCTCAGCGGACTCGGCTTTCTTCTGGCTGGCTCTTAGGACTTTAACCTTTTGCTCGGTAGCCCAGTGGTACCCTTTTTTTGGGGTTCAAGGTTCCCTCAGAAAGTAAGCCCCAAAAAGGGTGCCCTTCTAAGTTTGGGTTTTCGTAGAAGCTGCAATAAGGAGCCTAAAAGTTACACTTTTAGGAGGGGTTCAGAAGTCAGCCAAGATACCTACTCCTAACCCCTGAACCCTAAACCCTAAACACTAAACCCTAAACCCTACTCAGCTCAGTTGAGGTGTTGCAGCCAACTCGGTTTGCCTTGACGAAGCTGCCGCGGCCTACGAAGGGAGAGCCTTGGTTGAGGGTGTCAGGGGGTTAGGGAGTTTAAGGGCTTTAGGGGTTTTAGGGGGTTTCAGGGGTTTAGGGTTTTAGGGTTTAAGGTTTAGGGCTAAGGCCCATAGAGTCCCTTGTTCCCTTATTCACTTTTTTTGTGAGGGGGGGGGGGGGGTCAGAAGACCCTTGAAACCAAAAAGGGCACCCTCTTTTGTTACTAGCTTACTTCTTGGGTCTAGCCCTAAACCCTAAAACCCTGAACCCTAAACCCTTTACACTCCTGGGCTACTTCCTGGGCCTAGGTGACCAGTGTCCAGGAGAGTTGCCCTAAACCCTAAACCCTAAACCCTAAACCCTAAACCCTAAACCCTAAACCCTAAACCCTAAACCCTAAACCCTAAACCCTAAACCCTAAACCCTAAACCCTAAGCCCTGGACTTTGCAAGCCTGAGCCGGGCATGGGGGTGGGGGACCTGAAATCTTAGGGCTTCTTGGGAATGGTTTTTAGGGTTTAGGGTTTAGGGTTTAGGGTTTAGGGTTTAGGGTTTAGGGTTTAGGGTTTAGGGTTTTGTAATTCCTAAGAAACCTTAGTTGTAGAGTAGGTAGCCTTGAACCTTTTTGGGGGCAATAGAATCCCGTAATAATCCCAAAGGTCAACCTTTAGTTCCCCCTAGGTAATGGACAACTAGGAAACAGCCAAAATTACAATTTTTTCTTGGGTTCCAAGTTCAGTATAGGAACACTGAAACCCCAAACCCTAAACCCTAAGCCCTAAACCCTAAGGATGAGGGCTTCAGTCGTCGGGTAGGGTCATTTCTCGACATCCGCTCGAAACCCTTTGCCCCCAACCCTCCCAAACCCCTTGGGCACCCGAAAGCCCAAACCCTAAACCCCAACCCCAAGCCCTAAACCCTAAACCCTAACCCTAAACCCTAAACCCCCATGAGCCCAAGGTGCCAATTCTCAACCTATGGCTGTCCTCCTGGCAGCGTTGTCCGAGAGGGACGTTGCTGACGCTCTGAGGGGGGTGTAGGGTTTAGTGTTTTGGTGTTTAGTGCTTCGGATTTCAGGCTATCAGGGCACCCGGTATTTGGGTAGCAGGGTTTTCAGGTTTCAGGATGTAGGGTATTGGGGTTTAGGGCTTCAGGGTGTGGGGGGATTGGGGCTCGATGGGGCAGAGGGATTTTGGTGTTCGTGCGTCAGAGTACTCTGCAGGCTGCGGACATGTTTACTAGGCTGTCCAGTTTGTTTTGGCTTCCGGTCCATATGGTCACTTCACTAAATGATGGTCCCTTTAGGTCCATATTATAATAAGACTATAAGGATGATAAGGCTGCCCCTAATATTTAGGAAAACCAACAAGGGACCAACATTTTGAGTGCTTCGGCTAAAGAAAGAACCTAGTATAGGGGTCGGAATACTAATGGTATTCCCTTATCGTCCCTTTATCACTACACTACTACAACCCCCCCCCCCCAAAAAAAAAAAAAAAATATATATATATATATTTATTTATTTATTTATTTTTTTTATTTGTTGAGGCCCTGTAGTGATGACGGCAGAGCTGAGAGGTCTTGAACATTTTTGGGGTTCAAGGCCGTAGGGCTTAAAGGCTTAGAATTCAGGGCGGCGATGGGTAGGAGTGGCTATGTGGTCTGAGGGGTTCGAGGATAGGCTTGTCAGTCAGGCGTTGAGGTTCAGTCTTCGCTGGGGTTTAGGGAGTTTAGGGTTTAGGGCTTTATGTGCACGATCCTATACTTCCAGGGTTCAGGCAGACGCCAACATTAGGTGCTGTGGAGGAACTGGAGTTGCGATGGCATGTGTCACCGGTAGAGCCTGTCTAACACGGTTTCGGGTTTAGGGTTTATGGTTTAGGGTTTAGGGAAACCTCTATGAGGGAGTACACCTCCTCTCAAGCCCGACACTGCGCGAGGAGAGTACAGGCAGATGGGGGGCAAAAAGCTAGAAACACTGAGCGTAAAACCCTGAGGACTTGCAAGTAGCCCGAACGTTTTAGGGTTTAGGTGCTAGAGAGTTGAGGGGCTAAGCCCTATACCCTGAAGAGCCCGAAACTTTAACACAAACCTAAAACTGCACCCTGAAGAGTACAAAGTTTGGGGCTTGGGGTGTAGGAGTTTCGGCGGACCGTAATTGAAAGAACTACATGCCGTCAAATTTGGGCTCGGAGGTAAAGGTGATATGTTGAGAAGTTCGAGGCCCCCTCAGTGAACCCCTAAACATTCAATCTAGAGAATGTTTAGGGTGCAGGCTCTGGTGAAAAGAAAGGCTATTGGGTTTGAGGGTTTAGCCCCAAGGGGTCCATGTACCCATGAAGATATACTTGGGCCTTAGAGGGGTTCCTATAAAGTAGCTTTAGGGCCCAAGTATAGACCATATGGGTACATGGTCCCTGAGGGTAGGGTTTAGGGTGTGCGTATGCCACCGAAAAGGCTCAAACCCAAGGTCAGTAGGCCCAGCAGCCCCTGAAGCCAAGGCGCAGTGGGCCCTAAACCGAACACCCACAGGCCCAAAAGCACTCTAAACCCTAAACCCTAAACCCCAAACCCCACACCCCAAACCCTAAACCCTAAACCCTAAACCCTAAACCCTAAACCCTAAACCCTAAACCCTAAACCCTAAACCCTAAACCCTAAACCCTAACCCTAAACCCAGTAGGCCCAGTCTGCCTTAAACCCGAATATCAAGGCCCAGTAGCCCTGTAAAGCACAAGGCCCGATAGTCGTGAAAGACTAAAGCCGCTTGCGAAGGAGATAAGGGTTGAAAGAATATACGTATGTATGGATATATATATATACATATTATATATATATGTATGTGCATATATATATATATGCATATATGTATGTATGCATATATATATATACACATATAGATACATATGTATATATATATAGAGATGTAAAGGAACGAGGTTTAGGGCTTTAGGAAACCCTGTACCCTAAACCCTTAATGACACGTTCTGGTGTTGGGGTTTTTGTTGAGCCCTCAGCGGGGTCTCCCAACTCTAAACCCTAAACCCCAAACCCCAAACCCTAAACCCTCAACCCTGAGCCCTGCCGAGGCCGTGGGGATTGGTCTCAGGTGGATGGGACAACACGGCCGCGAGCCCGGGAGAGGTTTAGGGTTTAGGGTTTAGGAAGGCAGGGTGATGGTTTTAGGGATTTAGTGCTTTCAATCCCCCGATTTTGCGGCGTATGGAAGTACGATTTAGGGCCGAAAAGGTTAGGATGCGCCCCGCCCTTGCAAGTGTAAAATAGAGCTCTTGTAGCACGCAGGCCAAAAAAGAGCACCAGAAACACGAAACACGCTGGCCTTCGGCAATCCAAGCATGGCATAAGGGAGCAGAAAACATAGCGCTAGACATGTCACAGACAGGAGCACACAAAAAGCATCACCGGAAGTAGCACAAGCAGGAACAGAAAAAGTAGCACCCTAAATAGCACAAGCAGGAGCACAAGAAGTCACAACAGAAACAGCAGAGACAGGAGCAGAACAAGTGGCACCCAGAAACAGCACAAGTTTTGATACAAAACATGTGATCACTCCCTGCCCGTTCTTTTTTCCTTGCTTTTGCTGGTGCTTCTGCTTGTGCTCACTGTTACTAGTAGTAGGCCCTGGGAGATTCTTATGTTTCCCCTTATTGTGTTAAAGAGGATCATCTGTAGAATCTGTAGGACTATCTCTTTTTTTGTCACAGGGTTTTTGTTTGGGGCCATCCTAGGTTAGCTAGGACCCGGAGTAGGCCCTTATTAGTATTATTATTAGTATTATTATTCTGATTACTGTTATTATGATTATGTATACATATTCTTGTTATGATTTTACTGTTTTTTGTTCGAGCCATTATCATCTCATCCCCTTAAAACCAAAAAGGCCACCCCCTTTTTATTCCTGGGTAACTCCTGGGTCTGGTTAGTTAGTTGGTCGGGGCCGGGTGGGGGGTGGGTGGGGGGGGGGGGGGGGGGGGGGGGGTTACCAAGCCTAAGTCTGTGGGGTTTCGGGTTTAGGGTTTCGGGTTTGGGTTTTGGGGTTTAGGGTTTAGGGTTTAGGGCTTAGTCTTTTGGGGATTAATGTGTGTGTGTGTGTCTTTTTTTCGGAGGAGGGTTTTGGAGTTTATTGTTTTATTTCTGGTATCACTAGTATTAAATAATATAATATGTTTTATTGTTATTCTTCTTCTTACTATTATTTACACACATATATATATATATATGTCTATACTTTTCTACATGGATCCTTCCTCAAGACCATACGTAGGGCGAGCCCTAAACGTTTCTCGTCCTCCTGGTTTCCAGCGAGATCCCCTTTGAGCTCTAAGCCCCTTGTACCTCCAAGCCCCTTGTACCGTGAACCCTACTTGGAGGTTCATGGTACTTAGTAACTAATTATAACTGTACTTAGGACCCACTTATAAGCTCCGTAAGTGCCCTAATACGGTTATAAGTACAGTTCTAAGTACAGTTGTAATTGGTTAATAAGTACCATGAACCTCCAAGTAAGCTCTATCCAAACCTAGAGGGTCCATTTGTACTGCTACAATGGAATTAGGTAGCCCAAAACCCTATTCAGTATGGTTCTTGGGGTACCTAATTAGGAAACGTAGCCTTCAAACCACAAACCCGTACTCGTTTTTTGGGCTTATTACTTGAAGGTTCATGGTACTTACTAACCAATTATAACTGGGCTTATAACCCTACTTATAAGTGGGATAACCCCTATAAGGCCCTTTAGGGGTATTATAAGTAGGGTTACAAGTACAGTTATAATTGGTTAGTAAGTACCATGAACCTTCAAGTAGGGCTTATTCGGGCTTGCTCGGGCATATTGGGGGTTACTAGCTCTATCCAAGCCCAGTCTTCAAACCCGTATTCCTTGATATTGAAACTTCCCGTCCTAACTACCCCTAAACCTTACATCCCTCAACCCTAAGCGGCCCCCTAAAGTACTTGAAGGTTCATGGTACTTACTAACCAATTATAACTGTACTTATAACCCTACTTATAATACCCCTAAAGGGCCTTATAGGGGTTATCCCACTTATAAGTAGGGTTATAAGCCCAGTTATAATTGGTTAGTAAGTACCATGAACCTTCAAGTAAGCACGTAGAGGCCTGAACCCTGGACGCTTAGGGCTTATTGGGGCTCATTCGGGCGTGTTGGGGCTTACTAGGGCGTGTTAGATCTCAGGGCTTAGGCCTAAGAACTATTCCTGAATCCAAACCCCTAACCCCCCTAAACCCTAACCCTAAACCCTAAACCCTAAACCCCTAAACCCCTAAACCCCTAAACCCCTAAACCCCTAAACCCCTAAACCCCTAAACCCCTAAACCCCTCAACCCCTCAACCCCTAAACCCCTAAACCCCTAAACCCTAAACCCTAAACCCGATTACGCAATTTTGAGGTCCAGTACTGGGACCTGCGTGCGGGCGTAAAGCTCAGACACAGAGGTGTTGGGTTTAGGGTTCAGGGGTTTAGGGATTTATGCAGGCGTTTCGGGTTTAGGGGTTTGGGTTTAGGGTTTAGGGTGTATAGGTTTAGGGGTTTAGAGTTTAGGGTGTAGAGGTTTAGGGGTTTAGAGTTTAGGGTGTTGGGTTTGCAGGGCTCAGTGGTTAGGATTCAGCAGGCTCTTCGATTCTTGGGGTGCTGCGTTTTCGTTTGAGGTTTCGTGTTATACATAAGTTGCCGGCCTCAGAATACCCGGAGCTCGCCCGGAGTAAGTGGCTAAAGTCTTGGGCAGCAAAGGAGTCTTGGGCACCGGCACATCGAATGCACTTGCCCGAAACCCTAAACCCTAAACCCTAAACCCTAAACCCTAAACCCTAAACCCCAAACTCCGGCCGCTGTTCTTTTAGCCCCAAGGCCGACTCTCTTGCAAACTAATCTGTGGGTTGACCGACAAATCCTTTTCGTCGCATGTCCGGCATGGCGTCCATGTCCTTCCTGCTGCTCTTGCTGTCTGGAGTCGTTGTGAACGCCTCTTGGTGGCCCAGTGGTACCCTTTACTGTGTTTTTTTTGTTGGTTATGGGTTTAGGGTTTAGGGTTTGGGGCGGTTCCCTTATAAAGTAACCAACCCCAAAAAAGGGGTGCCCTTATTTTCAACATGGCTGCTGGGCTACCAAGGCCTTGCGTGAGACTCGTGCGCAGGAACACCAAAGCAGCGGCGGCACTTGGTTCAGCAAATGCCGATCTTCCAAGTGCAGCAACCAGACCTTTGATGTGGGGGGCGAGGACGGTGGAAGCATTCAGCTTCAAGATTGCGAGGTGCGCTTGCACGAGCCAGTCGAAATCGGTGGCACAGATATGTGCGAGGAGACGTGTTCTGTGCCCTACTCCGGCGAAACAAAGAGTGTCAAAGTCGTGCGGGAAAGTGGACATGGAGAACAGCAGTGCCGCTTCCAGGAAGCCCATGGTTTCTTGGCAATTGGAGGTTTAGGGTTTGGGGTTTGGTGTAGGGTCAGGTAGCCCAGGGGTGCCTTTTGCCCTTTTTTGCGTTCAAGGTTCCCTCATCAAGAAGCCAACCCCAAAAAGTGTACCCACCCTTATATATACCAACCCCAAACAGTGTACCCGCCCTTATTATATGGTAGCTGGGCTACCAAGGTTTCTGCACTGGCAAATGCTGCACGGCCAAATGCAGCAACCAAGCCTATGAGCCCAAAGCAGACGGTATCACGTGGCAGTTCACAGATTGCCGGCCGGCAGGCGAGGGAAGCCAGAGTCTGATGCGTTTCTTCGAGGTAGAGTAGAGGTAGCCTTTAACCTTTTTGGGTTAATAAACCCTAAACCCTAAACCCTAAACCCTAAACCCTAAACCCTAAACCCTGCAACCCTAAACTAAGGTGTCTATAAGGGTGACCTTCATGGAGAGTTCCCCACCTGCGCAGAGACGTGCACCGTGCTTCATTCCGGAGAGCCCACGCCTTACTCAGCCAACAGTTGAGCTTCAAACTTTCTTGGGGCTTCCATAGTCAACCCTAAACCCTAAACCCTAAACACTAAACCCTAAACCCTAAACCCGAAACCCTAAACCCTAAACCCTAAACCCTAAACCCTAAACCCTACAACGAAGTTGAACCTTCTTTTTCTTCCTCGGCTTTTGGAGATGTAAGGCAAGTCGAGGTCCTCAGACTCAGTGGGCTGGTAAGCCCCTTGGTGGCCCCAATGGTGCCCTTTTTTTTGTTTTCTCCCTTTTTTGGGGTTTAGGGTTTAGGGTTTAGGGTTTATTTAGGGTTTAGGGTTTAGTGTTTAGGGTTTAGGGCAAGCAAGGCCCCAAGCAGCCACACTGCGAGCTTAAGGAGCCGGGCTTGCAAGAAGCTCGGCTGCCCCAGCAGTTACCGGGTTTAGGGTTTAGGATTTAGGGTTTAGGATTTAGGGTTTAGGGCTTAGGATTTAGGGTTTAGGGCTTAGGGCTTAGGGTTTAGGATCTAGGGTTTATGCCTAAAGAAAAGCTGAATGAGTACACTTTACACTTTTTTGGGATGCTATGATCCCCTGTAGAACTGAAAATGTACACTTGTTTGCACTTGTTTGGGGTTGCAGAGAACTCGGATGCGCAGCAGTACCCTTATTAGGGCTTAGGATGTAGGGTTTAGGATTTAGGGTTGAGGGTTTAGAGCTTTTCGGATTTACACGTTATGCCTTTTTTTTTTTTTTGGGGGGGGGTTCAGGTCCCCTTATAAACCCTTTTACTAGCAAAGGAAGGGCACCCTTTTAATCCTAGGTTGCTGGGCAACCTAGGAAACGGCCATGGAATTCGTCGACCAGCTTGAGACTGGCTTGGCCCAAGCAGAATTTGTGTTTATTGTTCATTCTCCCCCTTCTTGGGTTTTAAGGGGATCCTGTCTAGGATAGACATGCGTACCGTATCAGAGTGTTCACAGGGCTTCTCAACTCTAGACCCTAAACCTTAAACAAAGGAGAAGAAAGCCCTGACCATCACGAATGGCAAGTGGTCCTTACTGCCACTGATGAGGGGCGACGTCGTCACTGAGCAGCTGAATGAGTACACTTTACAGGTTTGGGGGATACCAGGATACCATAGTACCCCATAGAACTGAAAGTGTACACTTTTTTTGGGGCTTATGAACTCAGCAACTAACTTTGTGGTGCTTTACTTCAACTTTAAATCCTCAGCCTTTTTGGATTTCTTTTGTGTTTCTTAACCAAGCAGCTAGAAATGTAATCCATAGCTACCTTCCTAAGTGCAGCCGAGCTAAGGTCGCCAGTTTCCTGAAGCAGGTGGAGCGGGGGGTCCTGAAGCCGGAGTTTGAAGCGAGCGAAGGGCACGGCTACAGCCGTGAGATCTCCCAAGAGGCTCAAAGCTTGATTCGAGTTTAGGGTTTAGGGTTTAGGGTGTGGGGTTTAGGGTTTAGGGTTTAGGTTTTAGGGTTTAGGGTTTAGGGTTTAGGGTTTAGGGTTTAGGGTTTAGGGTTTAGGGTGCCGGGTTTAGTGTGCAGGGTTTAGAGGGTTTAGGGTTTAGGGTTGGGGAAAGTTGCATGGTCCCTCAATGTGGTCCCTGCCTCCTTTCAAGGGTTCTGAAGTATGGGCCCTTGGGTTTGTATAGGGTATATACGTGGTAGATAGGGGCTCCCCTTGCCAAGGGCCCTTACTAAGGGACCATGTAACTACTCTAAGAGAGGCGCAGCATGTGGCGATCATTGGAGATCTTCATGGGCAGCTCTTCAATCTCCTTGCTTACTTGTTGAACATCCAAACGGTTCACAAGGACAAAGGCTTCCGCCGCCTTGAGGGGTCGTCCTTGTTGTTTTGCGATCCCCAAATTCAGTACGTCTTCATGGGTGACTATGTGGACCGCGGCGAAAGAGGAGTGGAGCTGCTTCTACTTCTACTCGCCTACAAGGCGGGAGTTCTAAAACTTGTCTCAGATGGACAATGACAATGAGACTCATGGCCAGTTGGAGGTTTAGGGTTTAGGGATTTGGGATTCAGGGTTTATAGAGTTTAATTCAGTTTATAGAGTTTAATTCAGTTTATAGGGTTTAAAGGGTGTATGGGGTTAAAAGGTATTAACTTGTCTCCCCCTCCTGGGATACTCTTGGGTCTAGCCCTAAACCCTAAACCCTAAACCCTAAACCCTAAACACTAAACACTAAACCCTAAACCCTAAACCCTAAACCTTCGGCCATTCCTGAGACCCTGAAGATCCCTGAAGGCTCGATGCCCTCAAGGCCTGATTCTCTTGCAAGGCAACCACGAGACTCCGGACATGTGGGGCAAGTATGGCTTCGGTCACTCGGTTGAGGGTTTAGGGTTTAGGGTTTAGGGTTTAGGGTTTAGGGTTTAGGGTTTAGGGTTTAGGGTTTAGCCCAGTGGCACCCGTTTGCTCCTTCGTTGAGTTTAGGGGTTGCATTTTCAAGAAGCCAACCCCTAAGGAGGGTGCCCCTTGTTATGATATGGGGGTGTACGGCCATACGGGACCCCGAATATAGACCCCAAATAGTAGGATCCCCTTATCATAAGGACCCCAAGAACTAAACCCTAAACCCCACACGACAAACCCTCAACCCTAAACCCTCAACCCTAAACCCTAAACCCTAAACCCTCATGTCGGAATCCGCAAGATGGTCGGCCACTGGGCCTGCCAAGGAAAGGAGCTGAGGCATAAGTTGGCCATCGGAAGCTTGGTTGCCCAGTGGTTCCCTTATAAAATAACCAACCCAAAAAAGGTTTAGGGTTTAGGGTTTAGGGCTACCAAGGAAGAAACCACATCGTGAAGGTCGTGGAACTTCTGCCCTACGTCGCGGTGGCACCTGGCAAGTTCATGGCCTTGCATGGCGGGATCAGCCCACGGATGGTGCAGAGCTGCGCAGGAAACCCTAAACCCTAAACCACCCTAAACCCTAAACCCTAAACCCTAAACCCTAAACCCCGCGCAGGAAAGGCCGGCCACTTTGGGGACTGCCTCGATGCGGGGACTGCCCAGACGACAGTGTGGGCCGATCCTCATGCTGCTCGGTAGGCCCGGTAGGCCCATGGGATTTTCTCATATTTTCCTTTTTGGTTTAGGGTTTAGGGTTCAGGGTTTAGGGTTTAGGGTTTAGGATGTTCACAGTCCTTAATTGGGACTATCGTACCCCCTTTTATAATCCCTACTGAGGACTGTTACCACGAGGAGGAACAGCCCAACTTGCTGTGCTTAAGGGGGTCACATACGTGGAACATTCTCCTCAGAGGGCCACATACTAGCAATGTTCTCCTAAGAGGGTCACATACTAGGTAATAGGAAACCCTAAACCCTAAACCCTAAAGCCTAAACCCAAAACCCCAAACCCTGAACCCTAAACCCCAAACCCTAAACCCTAAACCGCTTTTAAGGGCCCTCCCAGGATGGCAGGGGCTGGATTGCTTCTCCGAGGGGTCCAGAGATCTACAAGTTTCTCGGCTTTCTAGGGTTTGGGGTTTAGGGTTTAGGGTTTAGGGTTTAGGGCTAGGACCGGGAGTAGGCCTTTTTTTTTGTTTTGTTTTTCCTTTTTTTAGGGTTTGGGGTTCCCTTATCTCCTCCTTAAAACTGAAAAGGTTACCCTTTTTATTCCTAGGCTACTCCCGGGTCTAGTCTGGCTGGTTCCTAGGACTTTCATCCTTTTGGGTTTTTGGTAGACACCGCAAAAAAGGAGCCTAAAAGTTTTAAATGTTTTGGAGGTGTTCAGGGGACCCTAAACCCTAAGCCCTAAATCTTCAACGCTATACCCTAAACCCGGTTCCAAGTTCAGTATAGGTTTGGCATGGACGTCGCCAAGCTCTTCTTGCAGTCCAATGACCTGAAGGCCATCTTTCGCGGATACTTACCTTAGCCAAGAGTTGAAGGTTTTCTTTTGTTCAGGGGGGGGAGGCTTTGAGGGTTTAGGGTTTTGGGTTTAGGGTTTTGGGTTTAGGGTTTTGGGTTTAGGGTAGTTGTTGGGTTTCCTTATGAAGTGGGAATATTTAAGGTCGACCTTGTTTCCCTTTGTTCTTGGCGAAGTGAGGACATGAACAAGTGCAGACAGGCTACACGGCCAAGGAGCTCGATGGATTCTGGGTGGGACTTTACTACAACTTTATTACTTTATAAGTTAGGGGTTCCTCTACTAGGTGGGACTTTACTGCAACTTCATCACTTTATAAGTTAGGGGCTCCTTTAATTTCATATTCAGGGAGCTAAAAGTTAAACTTTTTATTGGGGGATTCAAACAGCAACCGAGGATATATTGTGGCGACGGTGTTCTCCGCTGCAGACTACGTGGGTCTCTTCTGCGAGGGCGGGCGCATACCTTCATTTGACCGGGAGATGCTTGGCTTTCTTCTGGCTGGTAAGTTTTTGGGTTTTTGTAGAAGCACCAATAAGGAGCCTAAAAGGTCAACCTTTTTGGAGGGGTTCAGAAGTCAGCCAAGGATGTTCTCCTACCCTGGCGAAGGTAATGAGGGCGCCTATGTGAACTTCGACTTGGCAGAAGGCGCAATCCACAATGTGACCAGGACCCAGAGTAGGCCCTCGTTTCCTTTGTTTTTTCCTTCTTATTGGGGGCTTAGGTTCCCTGATAGAATCCCCTTTAAACCAACAAGGGTGCCCTGGTTTATTCCTAGGTAAACCCTAAACCCAAAGCCTAAACCCTAAACCCTAAACCCTAAACCCTAAACCCTTGCTCTTGGGCCTAGGTGAGGATGTCCGGATCGGTCACTAGACAGCTGGCGGCAAGGTTCACGGGCGCTACTTGCCGCTACAGCCTCTTGCAAGGAGGGACAAGCACCAACGCTCGCAACTTTGTCATAGCGGGGTAACATTTTGCATCTTTAAAGGCACTTAAGACTCAAGAAGGAATAGAACTGCTACATGTTTAAGGGTATTTAGAGCTCAATGAGGAATAGACATTTTCAAAAATTCTTAAGCCCCAAGCCCTGAGCCCTAAGCCCTAAACCCTAAACCCTAAACCCCAAACCCTAAACCCTCTCCCAAGAATGAACAAGGCAAGAGTGGCCTGGATCGCTTCATCCGGGAGAGTCACGAGCGCCTGGCTGAGAGCAACTCCTCCTGTAGCCTGTCGGAGGCAGAGGCTCGGTAGGCCTTTGGGACGTTTTATATCTTCCCTTATTTGGGTTTAAGAGGATCATGTTCTAGGAATATCCTAAACCCTAAACCCTAAGCCCTAAACCCTAACCCTAAACCCTACGGATCATATTCAGGATTATTTGTTCAGAGGGTTTTTTGGGCCATCCGAGGAGGCGCAGTCTTTCAAAGAGAACGTTCGCAACATCCTGACGTCCTCCAAGGATCAGGAGGACCTCAAGGGATGAAGACTTACCCCTTGGGTTTAGGGTTTAGGGTTTAGGGTTTAGGGTTTAGGGTTTAAGCTTGTACCCCCAAAGGTGCCCCTTAAATATGGCCCTTATACTCCCTAGGGGTGTTTAAAACCCCCTAAGCTTGTACCCCTAGAGGTTCCCCTTGAATATCCTCCTGCTATGGCCCTTGTACTCCCTTAGGGATCCTGTAAAAAGAGCCCCCGAAACCTAAACCCTAAACCCTAAACCCTAAACCTTGAGCAGGATCAGGAGTTCGAGGCCCGAAAGTTGGTCGACTTGCAGGGGGAGGCCTTGGTCCATGGCGAGGTGGAGATGTGCAAGAGCCGGAAGAAGGACCCTTAGTAGTTGAATGGCTTAGGGTTTAGGGTTTAGGGTTTCGGGTTTAGGGTTTTAGGGTACAGGGCTTGGAGTTTAGGGTTTAGGACTTGGGGCTTGTGCCTAGAGAGTAGCTGAATGAGCACACTCTACACTTTCTGGGACACTAGAACCCCCTATAGAACAGAAAGTGTACACTTTTCTCGGGCTTATGATCTCAACAACGAAGGACCTCATCACCCTGGAAGTCTACAATGCCCTGCGAGGCCCTGATGAAGATATCTTGGAGAAAGACATCCAGACGCGGGAGCACGAGGAGAGTGAGCTGGAAGATGAAAGCACGCCGTAGCTGCCGTAGCGACAGGATCACCCTTAGAAGGTCCGTAGCGCCTGCGGCAGCTGAAAGATTGGGATGTCCGGATTGGCAAGACAGAAGGCGTAGGCGCAAGCATGCGTAGGCCATGCAGAGGCGGTGCGCTGGAGCGCAAGAGATCTCAGCTTCGTCCGCTGTCCCAATTTCCACACCAACAAACTCCAAGGCCACGCCGTGCGAGCGATCTTCGGGCCCCACATCTGCGGCGACGCCCTTGCCGGGGGCCTGTTATTGGGGGGTTTAGGGTATAGGGTTTAGGGTTTAGGGTTTAGGGTTTAGGGTTTAGTCGTTGGCAGGGTCTCGGATGTTGGGTTCAGTGTACAGGGTGCTCTATATGTGCCTTCTACCTGTAAGCTGCAAGAAGTCCCTACAGTAGTATGTAGTCCCTACTTACTTTCATGAAGGGATAGTAGTATATAGGCCCTGTATACTTAAGTGCATCCACTGCAGCCCAAAAGCACCTCCCAGATTCCAGGGCAACCAAGTAATCGGTTGACGCCTACTTGGAGGTTCATGGTACTTGGTAACTAAGTAGGACTGTACTTATAGCTGTACTTATAACCATTTTAGGGCACTTAAGGGGCTTATAAGTGGCTTTATAAGTACAGATATAATTAGTTGCTAAGTACCATGAACCTCCAAGTATGACCTTGTGATGCATGTGTGCAGGGTAATTATGTGGGCAGCTGCAGGTCTTGCAGACTGTGCACTTAAGAGGTCTTGCAGACTTTGCGCAACCAGGCAAAGAGCCTAGAAGACTTTTTGTCAAGTATGCCCTAAACCCTAAACCCTAAGCCCTAAACCCTAAACCCTAGGGGGTCCAAATGCCCCAAGGGCCCTATATAGCAAGGGGCAAGTATTCCCTATGCAGGGACATGGACCCTTAGGGTCACGGTTTCTAAGACTCCCTAAGGTTGTTTAGAGGGTTCAGAGTTTTCTAGGGTTTGGGGTTCAGGGTTCAGGGTTCAGGGTTTAGGGTTTAGGGTTTAGGGTTTAGGGTTTAGGGTTTAGGGTTTAGGGTTTAGGGTTTAGGGTTTAGGGTTTAGGGTTTAGTGTGAGGGTTTAGGGCATTGAATTTCGTCCCTTAACCGAAGCTCAACCCCCTAAACCCTAAAACAGCCCTTCGGAGGACGTGTCCACTGACGGCACGCAGTTGCTTACTGGAAGCTGTCGCGACGAGGTCGGTGGGTCACCATGGGGTGTGTGGTTTAGGGCTTTGGGGTGCTGAGGACTTGTGGGCACTTAGGCTTGTATAGTAAGAGTCTTCTAAGAGGAAGTATAAGACCTAAACCCCCCCTCTAAATCCATCCCAAAACTTAAACCCTAAGCCCTAACCCCCCCCCCCAAAAAAAAATAAAAATAAAAAAAAAATAAAAAAGAAACACCTGTTTTCAGGGTGGGGCTGTGCGGCGGCATGGGCTAAGACAACGATCCTGAACCTCTCAGCCTGAAACCCTGCAAGAGTTTGGGGGGTCTGAGAATATTTAGGATTTACGGTTTACGGTTTACGGTTAAGGGTTCAGGGTTTAGGGTTTAGGGTTTAGGGTGTGGGGTTTAAGCCTCTGGTTGGAAGGAGTACTAGGGACCCACCTGATACTCCCAGTGGCTGAAGCCCTGAGCCCTAAACCCTAAACCCTAAACCCTGAACCCTAAACTTTAACCTTAATACCCTGATCCCGAAGCTTGCGTTTAGGGATTAGGGTCTGGGGTCTGGGCTTTTTGTTGGGGGTATAAGAAGGGACTTCTAGAAGGGATCCTGACTCTTATTCCCCTATAAAACCCGTACAGTCTTATACAGTCCCTAATCCTAAACCCTAAACCCTAAACCCTAAACACCGAAGTAGCCCCTACGTGACCCCTGAGGTGCTTTTTTGGGGTACAAGGGCCATTCAGAATAGCTGGCATATCAATTCAGTTGCAGCCGCATGGGCACTTGTCTAAGGGGCCAATTCAAAAATGTTGCGAAGGAAGTTTTGTTGACCGTCTTTGCAGCTGAGGAATTCCGGGGTGAGGGCCTACTGGGTCTTTCGGGGGTCCAGATAGCCTTGAGGGAAATTCGTGCTTCCGCAGTGCTTCACCTCAAGGGTAAGCCCAGCCTAGCTGCAGTTTTTCACTGCGCATGGGACAGGATGCAGGTGTGTACTCGACTATCCTTCAGAGACGGCTGAGCAGAGTAGACACCAGCGGATTCGGTTCGGGAGGCCTGGGTTTACGGTTTAGGGTTTAGGGTTCAGGGTTCAGGGTTTAGGGTTTAGGGTTTAGGGTTTAGGGTTTAGGGTTTAGGGTCTAGTGTTTAGGGTTTAGGGTTTAGGGTTTAGGCTTAGGGTTTAGGGTTTAGGGTTTAGGGTGAAGGGCTCTAGGGTTGGGATGTTCCCCCTTATAGCAAGAGTCCTTAAAAGGGATGTTCAGTATCCCCTATGATGATCCTAAACCCTAAGCCCTAAACCCTAAACCCTAAACCCCTATTGAGGACTGTTAGTATACAGGTGAACATCCCAGCTCTAGTGTCTTAATAGTGCTGCAGGGACGCGGAGAAAACAAACCGACCCTGACCCCCCAAAAAGTTACTTTTCCCAGCGTCGATGCCCTTGCCTGCAAGATGTGCACAGTTCTTGAAGGGTTTAGGGTTTAGGGTTTAGGGTTTAGGGTTTAGGGTTTAGGGTTTAGGGTACTACTCCGTTCCGTTTGTGATGTTTTTCTTGGCAGATGGTCACCACAACTTCAGAATATCCCTGAGCCCTGAAGCCGAATTTCCTGGCCTACAGTTGAGTAGCCACCCTAAACCCTAAACCCAAAAACCCTAAAGCGCTAACACAGAGGCATACCACATCAAACTGTTGGTCAACTCGAGGGGTCCAAGTATGGGGTCTTGGTCTGGGTCCCTTGTTATATAGCCCTTGTGTACACTCTATATGATAAGACCCACCCTAAACCCTAAACCCTAAACCCTAAACCCCTCGGATCCCTATATAAAAAGGGTAAGGGACCATGCCAAGGGTCCATGGTTTCAACCTCAGATCAACAGTGAACCCCTGCACCCTAAACTAAACCCTAAACCCTAAACCCCTGGTATGGTGTCTTTGGTAAACCCTCGAATCTACGGCTCCAGATTAGCAGGGTCTAGGCTCCGTTCGCAAGCTACAAACCCTTGTAAGCTCCTGAACATGTTAAGCCTGACACGCCTCTTAAACCCCAAACCCTAAACCCTAAACCCTAAACCCTAAACCCTAAACCCTAAACCCTAAACCCTAAACCCTAAACCCTACACCCTAAACCCTAACCCTAAACCTCAACGTTGAAGGCACGGAGATCTGGCGGGATGGCCCGCTCTCGCCATTTCAAAATGCCTACAAAGCTTCGGTGCCTGGGACCCCTCACTGGGAGATATTTTGTCTTGTGGGGTTTAGGGTTTAGGGTTTAGGGTTTAGGGTTTAGGGCTTCAGGTTTGGAGTGTTCATGCTTAGGCTCCTCGGTCCCATTTCCAGCCCCAGCCGATCAAAAAGTCCAAAAAACACCACGCACCTTCCTGAACATCCAAGCCCCGAGACCCTAAGCCCTAAACCTAGCAACTCAGGTGCTAAACCTCCATGGTTACTGGGAATCCCGGGGTAAAACCCTAAACCCTAAACCCTAAACCCTAAACCCTAAACCCTAAACCCTAAACCCTAAACCCTAAACCCTATTCAGATTTTAGGCTCTGTGTACAAAAGCCATTAGAACCCTACGGCAAGGATGCTGCAGGGCGCCTGTTTGCATATAAGGTTCTAGCCTCAGCGCATCATGCCTGTAGCTCGTAGTACATATCATGGGAGGGTTTGTGGCATCGCGTATGGACTGGGAAGTCTTGTGTTTACATCATGGTGTGGTTTATGTGTCTTCCAACATTCATGTTGTTTTTTGTTTTTCAATGTTCGGTTGGGACCTTATGGGCAATCATACTCGTACTTACTCTTGGTCGGAAAGCCATGTGGGGTGGGGGGGGGGGGGGGGGGGGGGGGGGGGGGGGGGGGGGGGGGGGGGGGGGGGGGGGGGGGGGGGGGGGGGGGTGGGGGGGTGGGGGGGGGGGGGGGGGGGGGGGGGGGGGGGGGGGGGGGGGGGGGGGGGGGGGGGGGGGGGGGGGGGGGGGGGGGGGGGGGGGGGGGGGGGGGGGGGGGGGGGGGGGGGGGGGGGGGGGGGGGGGGGGGGGGGGGGGGGGGGGTGCGGGGGTGGGTAGGGGAATGTGCACATAGTCAAAGTGATCCACAGACAAGCGCGACCCTAAACCCTAAACCCTCAACCCCCCAAAAGCTGGAGGTGCATTACGTCAGCAGCAAGATGCCGGAGGAGATGTTTGTCAACTCGGAGGGCGTGTCTCAGTGGAGCTTGAAGAGCGTTTTAATGGGTTTAGGGTTTAGTGTTTAGGGTTCAGGGTTTATAAGGTTTAGGGTTTAGGGTTTAGGATTAGGAGGCCTTAGTACCTTTAGGAGCTCAGCGCTTTGGGGGTTCAGGAGCCAAGGGCGTGCTCTAAACCCTAAACCCAGACGGCCTGACTCCATAGTCCCTAAGTCCCTAAGTCCCTAAGTCCCTAAGTCCCGAAGTCCCGAAGTCCCTAAGTCCCTAAGTCCCTAAGTCCCTAAGTCCCTAAGTCCCTAAGTCCCTAAGTCCCTAAGTCCCTAAGTCCCTAAGTCCCTAAGTCCCTAAGTCCCTAAGTCCCTAAGTCCCTAAGTCCCTAAACCCTGAACCCTAAACCCTAAACCCTAAGACCCAGACAGCCAAGGCGTACAAAGTCCCTCTGAGCTTGGTGGTGCTGTCGCTGGTGATGATCGTTTCTAGCGCTCCGCTGGTGCCGCTTGCGCTACCGCTGGTGGCTGTTCCTTACCGACTATTTGCTTCAGGGTTTCTGGGGTTTAGGGTTTGGGGTTTGGGGTTTGGGGTTTGGAGTTTAGGGTTTGGGCTTTAGGGTTGGGAACCACCCAAAAAACAATCAACATGTTCTTCCTGATAAGGGCACTGTAGGGTAGGCTTTACTATGTTTTTGTGTTTTTTCTGTGGGGGGGAGGGTGGGGTTCCCTAAACCCTAAACCCTAAACCCTAAACCCTAAACCCTTTTATATCTAGGCCCCAAACGTCCCAAAGGCCTTGCGTGGTATGCGGCCCCCTGGGCCCGGACATCCTGAAATAAGGGTGCTTGGGTTCCCTACTTGGAGGTTCATGGTACTTAGGGTTTAGGGTTTAGGGTTTCGGGTTTAGGGTTTAGGGTTTAGGGTTTAGGATAACTGTACTTGTAACTGTACTTATAACCTTTCTAGGGCACTTAGGGGGGCTTCCCCCACCACCCCCCCCCCCAGCCCCTCCCCCCCCCCCCCCCCCCCGCCCCTCATCCGACCCACCAACCCCCCCCCCCCCCGCGCGCCCCCCGCCTTCCCCGCCCCGCCCCCGCCCCCCCCCCCCTTCCTTATACGGGCAATGTAGGGATTAGTATTTTGATTTTTTTGGTGGCTCTTAAGCAAATAGTAGACTATAATTCCTGATAAGGTACATAAACCATAAACCCTTTTAGGGTATTTTTTATTTGACAAAATTGTGGGGGGGTTCAAGGGAGTATGTAACCCAAGCTTCCCCAATACTGCCCACTACTCCTCAAGGCTCCCTAAGGTTGCCTAGGTACCTATTACGGTTTAGGGTTTAGGGTTTAGGGTTTAGGGTTTAGGGTTTAGGGCTTACGGTAAGCCCCAAAACCCTAAAGCCTAAACCCCTAAGACACTGGATCTTGAGCCTGGGCCTACGTCCTAAGGCTCATGGCGTCTGGATTTCTGGCCGAGCTCAAACAGGTCGCACTGGAGAATTCCAGCAATCTTTACGATTAGGGTTTAGGGTTTAGGGTTTAGGGTTTAGGGTTTAGGATTTAGGGTTTAGGGTTTAGGGTTTAGGGTTCAGACAAAGGGCCTTCTTTCGTTGAAAAAAAACGGTTGTGAGGGCTCAGGGCTTGAGAAAAAAACATGCGGTTGTGAGGGCTCAGGGTTCATAGGGTTCAGGGTCCCTCGTGCTTTTGCGGCCGGTGGCCAGGGGGGCGGTGGAGGGAGCGGGGTGGGGGCAGGGAGGGGGCGTCGCCTTCCAGGAAGACTCTTCTTTGCGCAGCCGAGGTTGCGACGTGTTTCTCCGATTTCTGGGCCTGCTCCTGTCCTGGGCCCCCCTGGCCCTTTTAGTTCCCCTGGCTCGGATGATTAGCACTGGGCAGACGCTCCAGCTCTTCGAGCAAGAGAAGATCTCACGTGTGGAGGTGCTTGGGCCATTCGTCTGCTCCCAGGCTCTTCAGTAGATATATGCTAGCTGCTAGGATTCAGAGTAGAGCCTTATTCCCTTTGTTGGGGAAGTTTCGGTTCCCCTTTTACGCTCCCTTAAACCTATCCGGGCAGCTTTGCTGTTCCTTGGCTACTATTGGGGTTTAGGGTTTAGGGTTTAGGGTTTAGGGTTTAGGGTTTAGGGTTTGGGTCTAGCCCTAAACCCTAGACCCCAAAACGTTTCCCCCAGCACCAACCCAAAGCATGGCATCGTGTTGATTGTTTTTCTCCCATGTGTAAGCCCCTAAATGCCCTAACGCATGAACGCATTCAACCCATGAGTTACCAATCTTAAGCCCGAAATTAAAAAAACTAGCAAATGCTCGGGGTTTAGGGTGTGGGTTTAGAGTTCAGGGTTACCCTAACCACAAACCCTAAACCCCATGGACCTGAAACCCGAAAACTGCTACTCCCTCAGCTACGCCTTACCTTAGCCCCTGTGAACCCTATGAACCCGATGAACCCTATGAAGTCTAGACCCTAAACCCTAAACCCTCTAAACCCTAAACCCTCTAAGCCCCCTAAAATAAACCCTAGGCCCAAACCCCCAAACCCCCAAAACCCTAAACCCTGAACCCTAAACCCTAAACCCTAAACCCTAAACCCTAAACCCTAAACCCTAAACCCCAAACCCTAAACCCTAAACCCCAGGCTGTGGCTTGGCTTCCCTCATCTTCTTCTCAGACGTCTTCTTTTACATCGTCGAGCGGGCCTGTGCCTGGATGGTTTGGGACGAGTTCGCCGAGCTCGAAGAAAAGGCGGTTTAGGGTTAGGGATACGTAGGGGTTTAGGGTTTAGGGTTTAGGGTTTAGGGCTTAGGGCTTAGGGCTTAGGGTTTAGGGTTTAGGGCCCCTTCAGAACCCTTTCAAGAAGCTAAGGGATCATGTTCAGGGACCATGCAGTTTTACCCGAAACCCTAAACCCCGAACCCCAAACCCTAAACCCTAAACCCTAAACCCTAAACCCTAAACCCCAAACCCTAAACCCTAAACCCCAATCCCTAAACCCTACGCCCTGGATCCTAAGCCCTAAACCCTTGGAGCAGCCTGGAGGTCTTCGAAGTGGACGAAGATGTCATGCGGCATCCGAAGCTGGTGGCCCGGGTGGTTCACTTTCTCGAGCCCTAGGGATTCTTGGGAACATTTTTTTTATTTTTGGGTTTGGGGTTTGGGGTTTGGGGTTCAGGGTTTAGGGTTTGGGGTAATCCTAAGAAACAGCTAAGATTGTGTTTTTTTTTGCTAGGGCTCCTCAGTCTAGGAGCAGCTGCGTGAGAACATCCGGGTCCAGAGCGCCGTCTTTCAGACTGGTTTAGGGAGGGGGAGGGGAGACTTGGGTTTAGGGTTTAGGGTTTAGGGTTTGGGGTTTGAGGTTTGGGGTTTGGGGTTTGGGGTTTGGGGTTTGGGGTTTGGGGATTACTGTCCTACGGCCCTTGTAACTTTGTAACTCAGAGGGGGGGGTCTTTTTAGAAGATTGCACGATTGGGAATCGACGAGGTGCTTGTGTATGGGAGTTTCCACAGTGCTTAAATGTTTCGGGATTGTGGGCTTAGGGTCTAGGGTTTAGGCTTTAGGGCTTTAGGGCTTCCAAGTACAGTGAACTGTATTTAAACGGAACACCCCCCCAGAGTGCCTAATTATTACCTGAGGCTGCCCTAAATACACCCTAACCCCAACTGAACTCATGAACCCGATATCCTACTTATGTACTATAAGGGTGGGAATAAGTACTAATTAATCCTATTCCCTTATGGTCCATTTTATATTTTGCTATAACAACCTGAAACCCTATTCTAATTATTAAGGCCCCTGTATCATACCCCCAGCCCTTGCATTTCAAATATGGTAGATAAAGGGTTTGTATTAAATGCAGCTGAGTGGGACAGGCCCAACCTAAGCCCTAAACCCCAAGCCCGAAACCCTAAGCCCTAAACCCTAAGCCCTAAACCCTAAGCCCTAAACCCTAAACGCCTAAGCCCCAAACCCTAAACCCCAAACCACAAGCCCTAAGCCCTAAGCCCTAAGCCCTAAGCCCCAAGCCCCAAACCCTGAACCCCAAACCCTAAGCCCTAAGCCCTAAGCCCTAAGCCCCAAACCCTAAACCCCAAACCCTAAGCCCCAAGCCCTAAGCCCTAAGCCTTAGGTCTTCAATCGCAGCTACGTGGTGCAGTCGGAGTTCGAGCGCCGGATCCTCTATGCTCTGGAGGGTGGTGGCTTGGCATGACGATGTCGAGTCTCAACTCCTGCTGAAGTCCCCTAGTCCCTAGACCCTAAACCCTAAACCCCAAACCCCAAACCCCTAAACCTTCACCAGGGTGCTGCCCTTCAGCCTTCCACTACTTAATGGCCAGCCATTGTTAGGCGACCACCGCCGATGGCTGGAGAGCGCCCCGTAACTCGGACGCCTTTCAAGAAAACCCGTTTCCTGTTTCACTAGGTTTTAGGGTTTAGGGTTTGGGGTTTGGGGTTTAGGGGTGTAGGTTGCCTTTGCAACCCCCATTTGGCAACGAAAGGCTGACCTTTTTCTGACTCCAAACCGCCAAAACTCGAAAACGCTTCATTCCTAGACCTTAGGTTTAAGGTTTAGGGTTTAGGGTTTAGGGTATAGGGTATAGGGTATTAGGGGTTAGGGTGGGAACCGAGGCTGCTCAACCAACGCAACAAGGAGTCGTGGAGACTGTTCCTCGGTCTTTCTGTTCAGGTTCCTGTTAGGGTGTAGGGTTTAGGGTTTAGGGTTTAGGGTTTAGGGTTTAGGCTTTAAGGCCCCTTCAGCCTCAAGCCCTTGACACCTTTTATAACCCGAAACTTGGGATGTTTACTCTTATACTAACTGTCCTGAATAGGGATTGCAGTACCCCTTTTTCAATACCATTTAAGGACTGTTCGTGTAAGGGAAACCCTGAACCCTAACCCCCAAAGGTTCTTGAAGCCCTTTAGCATCCTTCAAGCCGTTTCGTCCCACATGTTTTGGGTAGCGCCTTGTGTTTCTTTTGAAGGATGCTGTCGGGGTGCAGGGTTTGGGGTTTAGGGTCTGATGCCCCCAGAGACACAACTTCCCACAACCCGAAGTTTTAGGGTTTAGGGTTTAGGGCCTGATGCCTGAAAGACACAAGTTCCCAAAACCCTAAGCCCTAAACCCTAAACCCTAAATCCTAAACCCTAAATCCTAAACCCTAAACCCTAAACCCTAAACCCTAAACCCTAAACCCATACACACCTGCCAAGGAGCGTTGGGTCTCTACTGGCAGGGCTGGTCCAGGCGACGCTGCCGTCCATCTCGCGGGTCTGCCTCGGAGTGGAGGACTCCCTGGGTAGCCCAGTGATACCCTTTTTTTCTTTTGTGTGGCAAGGGTTTAGGGTTTAGGGTTCAGGGTTCAGGGTTTAGGGTTTAGGGTTCAGGGTTTAGGGCTTAGGGTTTAGGGTTTAGGGTTTAGGGTTTAGGCAGCCCAGTGATACCTTTTTCCCTTTTTTAGGTCCTCTTGTAAAGTACCTTATAATAGTTAAAAATGGTTCCTGTGCTACCAAGACTTAAGGGGTTTAGGGTTTAGGATTGAATGAGGTTCTTCTGTTTGCAGGACTACCCGGAAATTTTCCTTGCATCTAAACTAGACCACTAAACTCTGGTCTACCCTCAGTTTGAGAGTGAAGTGCTAATTGGGGGTCGAGGTAAGCAATTGGGCTTCTTGGTTAGCTTGACAGGAGCTTCCTGAGCCCTAAACCCTGACCGGCCGCCAGCGTGTAGACGTTAGAGGCGGCTCGAACCCCAAAAACTTGTAAAGGGTTTGCTGTTTAAGGTTTAGGGTTCGTAGGGGTTTAGGGGGTGTAGAGGTTTGGTGGCTTAGTTGTGTAGAAGGGTAGGCCTAAACCCTAAACCCTAAACCCTAAACCCTAGGGCTTAAAAGGTTGCATTGGAGCGCCTTGGCAGGAGCCTCTATTCTGCGACTCCGGAATTCTGATGTTCATCCGGATCACGCAGCTCCAGCCGCGCAAGGGTTTCGGGTTTAGGGTTTAGGGTTTAGGGTTTCGGGTTTAGGGTTTCGGGTTTAGGGTTTCGGGTGTAGGGTTTAGGGGTTGCCCCCAGTATTTCGGGTCTACAGGACTCAGGGTTTAGGATTGCCCTGAGGATCCATGTACTTTTGTGGTATATATGTGAGGTCTCAAGCTCTTGACAACAACCCCTTCAAGGCCCCAGTACATCCTATGTAGGTACATTGGCTGCCCTAAAGCCTAAACCCTAAGCCCTGAACCCTAAACCCTAAACCCGAAACCCTAAACCCTAAACTCTCTTTGTGGGGTACATGGACCCTGTGGGTTGAGGGAGGCGTGAAGATGAGGGCAGGCAGCCTAGAACTGTTCAAGGACGGCTTTGTACCCTCAGCCCTAAACCCGATAAACCCTAAACCCCAAACCATAAACCCTAAACCCTAAACCCTAAACCTGTGCATCCGAATCCTTATAGTTTTTTTAGGGACCGTGAACACCAAGACTTTTGGACCCTGCACCCTATAAGGAGTTCAAAGAAGGGAGGGGGGGTGGGCATAGCCTGGGACTTGCCCATCGAGGGCCTTTTCTTGCGTTGCCCCCCTGGGCGAACGTCCACGCACGCCCGTGGGGTGTTCGTGAGCTGAGAACCCCTGTGCCCTAAGTAAGGCCTTATTACAGTTTTTAGGGTTTTGGGTATTTAGGGTTTTGGGCTCGTGGGGTAGGATTCAAGCCTTGTCAGCTACGCGTAAGCCGCTTGAATCCTAAACCACGATTCCCTCAAGGGCTTCAGGGTTTAGGGTATTGTCCTAAATCCCAACCCCTCAACCCAAGCACCATCAAGCCCCTGACATGAAAAACACAAAGCTCCCAAAAACTGAGCCCTACCCTAAACCATTACTACAGGCCTGAATCCAAAACGTTACTCGTGTAGATGTTGCTATTCATCCTCACACCGAGCACAGTGCTGGGTTTGTGGGTTTTAAGGGGGTAAGGGTTTAAGGGATTAGGGTTCATGGTTTCGGGTGCAGGTTGCTGTTTCGATTCTACACTGTATAATGTTCACGATATACCCGGCGCAATTTAGTTTAAGTTGCTTGACATCAACCCAGTCAGTGTAGGCTCATGCTTCAAGGTTTGGCACGTTTTCAGGTTTTCCGGAGGGATGAGGCTCAGAGCGCTTAGGGTTGAGGGCTTGCCGCTTGAGGTACTGCTTGACTGCCTTCGCGACAGCGGCATATGTTGCCCGTCATTGCCGCCCTACTGGAACGCTGAAGGTGTGTGATGTGGGGTTACGGGTTCGTAGGGTACCGAGCACATCCCCATTCAATATTCACTCAAACTGTTCAACAACTGGAAACGAAACGTCCCTTAATCATCGGGTTGTTTGTTACTTGTCAGTTAAAGATACATAGCTATACAGCTAGACCCGTCAGTCTGTCTGCTATAGGGGTCGGAATATTTACTAATAACATCCCCTTATGTCCCTTTGTAATTGTACTTTCTAGCCCCCAAAACCTATTCTAATTATTTAAGGCCCCCTATAGTCGCCCTAAACCCTAAACCCTGAACCCTGAACCCTGAACCCTGAACCCTGAACCCTGAACCCTGAACCCTGAACTACACCCTAAACCCTAAACCCTAGACCCTAAACCCTAAACCCTCCAGCCATCAGGTATCGGTACGCTGATGAGGCTTCACACCTTTCAGCTGCGCGGCTCGGCCGGCAGAAGCCGCGAGTGTGAGGTCCCAAAACCTTAAGCTCGACCGGCTCGACACCCCAAACCCTAAACCCTGAACCCTAAACCCTAAACCCTAAACCCGAGTTCCGGTGAGTTCCAAGGTTGCCTGGCCATCCTCTACCTGGTTGCTCCCGACAAGAGGTTCGGGCTGTTTCGAGATTCGAGTTGTGGGGTTTAGGGTTTAAGGTTTAGGGTTTAGGGTTTAGGGTTTAATCCGTTCCCCCTAATATAAAAGGCCCCCCCCCCCTTGTATAAAAACCCCCGAAGGGTTTTTAGTATTAGGGGGGGTTCTTATCGTTTGTCCGCGAAACCAGCCCGTCCTTGTTGTAGCATGCTGGCTCAGCAGCCAAGCCTGGGCTTAAGCCTGACCCAGCCGGTCTGCAGACCCAGGCCAGAGAGAGATCAGACGTGTTTAATTAAGTGAATGACAGTTCAAGCAGAAGACCAGCTGCATTGAGAGGCTGTGTGCAGCATGGCCAGCGACCAGACCGAGGTTGCAGACAACGAGGCTCACACTGTCTGAGTCAGAGGCAACCTAATTAATTAGCCCGAAAGCAGCCAGGACGCCCTCGTCGAGGCCTTGGTGAAGCAGACCGAGTTGCTGACAGCTCTGGTCACAAGAAGAGAGCTTGCTGCCAGGCTGGGGGCACAAGGCACAGAGGTGGCAGACTTGGAGAGAGAGAGTCCTGCAGAGAGCTCGCAGCCTTCGCAAACACAGAGTTCGCAGCCTCGCAAGAGAGAGGTGCCCGATCTCGAGAGAGAGAGTCTTGCAGACAGCTCGCAGCCTTCAGCAAGACAGAGTTCGCAGCCTCGCAAGAAACCTCACATCAGCCCAGCAGTGAGGTCGCAGCCCTCACAGGAGCTTGAGACTCCTGAGCTGAGCAGAGAGAGGGGTCTGAAGCGCCCCTCCAGCTTTCAGACACCCACTCCTAAGAAGCTGTTTCAGAGTCCCTCCAGCCAGGACACTGTAGTTCGTGACAGGCAGCTTCAGGAGTTGAAGGAGACCATGCCCAGTGACATTCCTGTCTTTTACAGACTGGATTACCTGTGGGGCAAGGCCAAGAGTCCAGAAGCTCGGCCCAATCTCAGCCCACCCTTAGCCTCGCAAAAAGCAGAAGCAGAAGCTGAAGCCAGGTTGCAGCTTGTGGAGTCTGCGGCCGAAGAGGCTGCAGCCAGGCTTGGCATGCAGGCTGCAGTTCCCAAGGCGAGGAACAAGGGTGGGAGGCCCAAGGGTCGCAAGCAGAACCCAGCCAGAAAGGCTTTGCCAGGCCTTCGCAAGAAGCGAGCAGATGTCACGGCCAGAGGCAAGCTGAAGCTGATGAAGGATGTGGACCGCATGATTGCTGCAGGCACCTCCAAGAAAGAAGTCAAGAAGCAGATCTCGAAAGAGTTCGCAGTCAGCAAAAGCTTCGTCCACAACCTGTGCAGCCAGAAGGCTCGAGGCAAGGTGGAGCAGTTCGTGAAGACCACCAACCAGGGCGAAGGTGGCCTCAGACCGCCAGGCAGCCAGCTAGGCTTCTGCATGATGGCCAGCCGCAGCACAGGGAAGAGGCTGCCAGACCCCGGCCAGGCCTTGGGCAGACCAGACCTTCTCAGGCCCATTTGGCTCCAGACTGCATCGTGGGCTCAGGAGGAAGAGAGCAACCTGCACATCCTGACACCTGAGGATGTGTTCGACCACTTCCTCGACCGCCTAGAAGAAGCCATTGCAGTCAGAGAAGCCGAGAAGCAGGCAGCCGAAGCCGAGAAGCAGGCAGCCAGTCTCAGCGACAGTGCCGAGAAGGAGCTGGCAGCCTGGCAGAAGAAGCTGCGCAGCATGCAGACGAACGCAAAGGCGAAGGAGAAGTACAAAGCAGGTCTGGTGGTCAAGTGTGGGCTCCGCCGCAGGTCGTGCCAGCAGGTTGCCAACCTGCCCTTCGAGCAAGAGAAGCTCAGACTCGAGGCTTGGGTGGGCCCGTTGGGGGGGGACAGTCAGCTAGTGGCCGGCTCGAGTTCCTTACCTAAATAGTCAGCCCCCTAATGGATGTCCTCAGACCTGTCGTAGCCCTGCAAGGAACAAGAGCCGGCCACCAGCAGACAGACAGACCCAAAAGGGCACTTGTTTTACAGCCAGTCTGGCAGCCAGAACCCTTTAGTCTGAAGCCCCAAATAGACCCTTTTACTCCTGACCCTAAACCCTAAACCCTAATTGAACCCTTGAACCCTAAACTGTAAACCCTAAACCCTAAACCATAAACCATAAACCCCTTAGCTGTTCAGACAAGGCTGCCAGTCAGGCCGCCCAGAGCAGGCCTGACTGAAAGCCAGGCAGACAAGCACGGAACAGACAGTCCGGCAAAAACAGTCAGAGCCTTGCAGCCTTTTGAGAGGGGTCAGGGTTAGGGTTTAGTTAGGTTTAGGGTCGAGGGTTTTAGGGTTTAGGTTTAGGGTTTAGGGTTTAGGGTTCAGGGCCTCCACCCCCCCTAATCCCCCCCTAACTCTGTACAGGTTTTAATAGGGACGGACCCGGGATCGGTATTTGGGGCCGGGGGGATTTTTATATTAGGGGGAATGGATTAGTAATTTAGGCTTTTTGGGCTTTAGGGTTGTAGGGTTTCAGGGTTTTTAAGGTTTAGGTTTTAGGGTTTTAGGGTTTAGGGTTTAGGGTTTTAGGGTTTTAGGGTTTTAGGGTTTTAGGGTTTTAGGGTTTTAGGGTTTTAGGGTTTTAGGGTTTTAGGGTTTTAGGGTTTTAGGGTTTTAGGGTTTCAGGGTTTTAGGGTTTTAGGGTTTTAGGGTTTTAGGGTTTAGGGTTTAGGGTTTAGGGTTTGGGTTGCAGGGTTTTAGGTTTTAGGGTTGCAGGGTTTGAGGTTTTAGGGTTTCAGGGTTTTAGGGTTTGAGGGTTTTAGGGTGTTTTGGTGTAGGTTTCAGGGTTTTAGGGTTTTGGGGTTTTAGGGTTTTTGGGGTTTCAGGGTTTAGGGTTTTAGGGTTTAGTGCTTAGGGCTCATGGAGGACTCATGACACAAGACGGCTCATTCATTCTGCGTTTTGGGGTGCTCACGGGCCATGAGCTCGCTGGCTATTGTTGGAGCTCAAGCCCTACACCCTGGACTCTGTTCAGGGTTTAGGGTTGTCGGGTTTAGGGTTGAGCCCAAGACCTGTGATTTCGTTGCCAGCTCCCCCCACAGCCATATTGTAGGGTTCGAGGGCGTCAAAGAGGGGTGAGATACGTGGGCAATCTAGCCCTGGCTCAGAGAGAAGTCCAGCAGCTCACATCAGCAAGGGCATTACTTGTCTCAAGTTGCACCTAAACCCTAAACCCTAAACCCTAAACCCTAAACCCTAAACCCTAAACCCTAAACCCTAAACCCTAAACCCTAAACCCTAAACCCGCATTGTGGAGAACGAGGTGTTGGCAGGCATGTTCGAGAAGTTCGGCACAATTGCGCACCTGTGGACGCAGGATGGTGCCATATGCTATGCCCAAAGGCTCTGGACTTGTGGTCCGGTGCTGTGGTCTGAAGGAAACCGAATCGGACCCGACGATGATAGGGATTAGGGTTTAACTAGGGTTTTAGGGTTTAGGGTTTAGTTTATGGCTTAGGGCTTAGGGTCCCTAACCTTAAATCCCAAAACCTAAAGCCTAGGGAACACCGGGTTTTACTCCCAGACTCCCTAATGTATCTCAGGTTGCCGAAGTTTTGAGTTCCCAAACCCTCAGCCCTCATTGCCTAGGCCCCCTAAGCCCTAGACCCTAAATTGCCATGTAAAGCCCTATACCCTAAACCCGAAAACCCTAAAACTTTAAAACCCTAAACCCTAAACCCTACACCCTAAACCCGTAACCCTAACCCTAAACCCTAAACCCTAAACCCTAAACCCTAAACCCTAAACCCTAAACCCTAAACCCTAAACCCTAAACCCTAAACCCTAAACCCTAAACCCTAAACCCTAAACCCTAAACCCTACCGAGCTACCCCTAAAGGCTTCACCCTATTCCTGTGAGCTGTTCTCAGGCGGAAGGCCCTGGGCTGGCAGTACTGGAGCCTCATGGAGGGCCTGCGGCTCACCTTGCTGCTTGTCTTCAACCCAAAGTAACATGGCGGGGGTGCGGGAGGTTTAGGGTTTAGGGTTTAGAGTTTAGGGTTTAGGGTTTAGGGTTTAGGGTTTAGGGTTTAGGGTTTAGGTTTAGGGTTTAGGGTTTCGGGGGCACCTATGCTCGAAGCCTTAAACTGCAAACCCTAAGCCCTAAACCGGTGAGGGCTTTAGGTCTAGGAGCTCTCAGCCCCCAAAAAATAGAGCCGGCTTTGCAACCGGTTGGGGTTTAGGGTTTAGGGTTTAGGGTTTAGGGTTCAGGGTTCAGTGTTCAGGGTTCAGGGTTCAGGCCTGAACTTGTTGGGCTTCCGCTTCTTCAGCTAGGAGAAGTGACTGAACTCAAAACACCTAAACTAGGGTTTAGGGTTAAGGGTTTAGAGTTTGTAAACTAGGACGCAGAGTCGGCCCTTATTCCCTTGTCTTAGGGTTGAGGCTCCCTTATGAAGCCCCTTTTTTCAACCAAAAAGGGCACCGTCGGGTCTAGGCACGCACGCTCGAAATCTACAAACCCCTCCAAAGTGCGAAGCACTGAACCCTAAACCCAAGCCCTAGCACTGGAGGCTATTTGGGGTTTAGGGTTTAGTAGGGTTTAGGGGCCCTAACCCCTGGACCCTAAACTCCAAGTCCTCAGGGGCCTTCCTCAAATCCTTAAGCACAAAGCTTGCGGATTGTCTGTGGGGGATTTTAGGAACTTGGCATCCGACTTATCCCCTTTTTTTGGAACCCCCCCCTGCCCCCCCATTCAAGATATTCCAGCACTTCCAGCCTCTAGGCGTATAGATCGCCCCGTTTGAGGCCCTGTGAATCCTTTTGCGCCCCAGGGAGTTCGGTTTGCTCAGGGTTAAATGCCCCTGAATGAAGGCTCCAAGGGATCTCGCTGAGGTGGTACCCTAGGGTTTGGGTACGGGAATATAAGGCCATATTCTGCTATTTGCTGAAGAACCCCCCCCCCAACCCCTTTTGTGTGGTTCTCAAGCAAATAGTCAGTCGTATTAGGAGTCTACATCGGGAAGCCCTTTCGGATTTACATCTTGGGATGCTGCCCATTATCAGTCCTTAATAAGGATTCGAATAAGGGGGTACTAGAATCCCTAGGACGGTTAGTATAAGGGGGAACATCCCCCCAAACCCTAAACCAAGTGACAGGTGTGGTCGCATAACTCTTTCAGGGCTCCAAGGTCGACTCCCCTTGCTCAAGCCCCTAAACCCTAAACCCTAAACCTTAAACCTTAAACCCTAAACCCTAAACTCCTAAACCCCTAAACCCCTCAACCCCTAAACCCTAAACCCTACACCCTAAACCCTAAACCCTAAACCCTAAACCCCTAAACCCCTAAACCCCTAAACCCTAAACCCTTGACTCCCTTGACTGGGTCGCCATTTGAGGCCGGAGGATCATCCTGAAGCGGATGGCCAGGCGGGGGCTAGGCCTCCTAAAGCCTAGGGGGTTTAGGGTTTAGGGTTTTGGGTTTAGGGTTTAGGGTTTAGGATTTCGGGTTTAGGGTTTAGTGTTTAGTGTTTAGTGTTAAAGGTTAAGGGTTAGGGTTCATGGTTTTACCTTGACCTTGCCCCACTCAAGACCTTGAATCCCCCAGGAACAATGCTCAATCCTTGATCCCTGAATGCCCTGGACCCGAAACCCGTTTAGGGTTTAGGGTTTAGGGTAGTTTAGTAAACCCTAAACCCTAAACCCTAAACCCTAAGAACTTAAGCAATCGTAAGCCCTCTTCGAGTTCAGGGTACCTATAACCCCAAGAAGAACTGTACTTTGAAGCCCCCTAAGTATACATGGAACCTCCAAGCTTTGAACCCCTCATACCCAGCACCCAAGAATCTGCCAGGAACCCTGAACGTTTGGAAAACTGAGGGCGGGCGCGTGATGTACGCTGGGGAACCCGAAGCCCCAAAGGGATAGAGCTTGTTTCCATGTGCTTTTGCTATTCTTATGTTTATTATCTTTTTTTTTTGGGCGGGGGGGGGGGTAGTATTCAGTGATATAGGATTGGAGGTTGCCTAGCGCAACTTCAAAGCGAGTAGCTCTTGTAATAAGGGTTTAGTGGGTTTCGGGGTTCGATGTCTTGTGTGGCCATGAGTGCTCATACATCCCTTTGCAGCTGCGCTACTACCGCGGAACGCCCGCTCCGATTTTTTTCAGAGTTCCGAAGTCAGCCTTGGGGCTGTTAGGGGCTCTACAAGGAGTTGAGGGCTTAGGGTACCTAGCCGGCTGGTGGATCGAGAGGGGGGGGGAGGGGAGCTCAGGGTCCATAGGCCGGTATAATTCTAGACGAGGACCCAGAGGCAGGCCCGTATTCCTTTTCTGGGGTTTGGGTTCCCTTATAACCCTTTAAAACCAAAAAGGGCACCCTTTGTGTTCCTGCGTTACTCCTGGGTCTAGTACAGTATATACCCTTCTAGGCCCAAGTATATACTATGTGGGTTTCGGATTCGGATTGGACGAGCCCTAAACCCTGAACCCTAAACCCTAAACCCTAAACCCTAAACCCGCTGATTCAACGAGGAGACGCCAACGAGCCAACATTCGCAGAGGAAGCTCTGGCTGGTGGACGAGCGGCGGCACACGAAGAACGAGCAGGATACCCCGCCCCCACCCCAAGCCCCCACCCCACCCCTAAAACCCCTTAACGCCCTAAAACCTGAAAACCCTAAAGTCTGAAAAATCCTAAACCCTAAAAACGCTAACAACCCTAAAATCACCCTCTAAACCCTGAATCTCAAAAACCTGTCAGGGTTTAGTGTTGGAGCCCTGGGAACCCTTCAGGTTGGTTCGTTGGGGAGGGGGGAGGGGGACTAGGGTTTAGGGTTAAGGGTTTAGGGTTTAGGGTGTAGGGTTTAGGGTTTAGGGTTTAGGGTTAGCACTCCAACCCCCGCCTGCGAGGTTTGGCAAAGAATGTATGAAGTCAGGGGTGCTCTCTGCAGGTGTGTTTAGGATTTAGGGTTTTTAGGGTTTGGGGTTCAGGGTTTGCTGGGCTTTCGGGTGAGAGAGACGTTCGGGCTTGCCCGGAGAGTTTTCCGGATTTCAGATTCCCAGCTTAGGGTCAACCCTAGACCCCGAAAACCTTGCGGGGCCCAGGTGCATGGGACTTAAGAACCACTTATAAAGGGGCTTCTAACCTTACTTCGAATTGGGATAACCCCTATAAGGCCCTTTAGGGGTATTATAAGTAGGGTTATAAGTACAGTTACAAGTGGTTAGTAAGTACCATGAACCTTCAAGTAAACCCTATAAGCCCTAAACCCTAAACCCTGAACCGCAAACCCCTAACCCCCTAAACCCTAGACCGTTTAGGCCCAGACTTGGCTGCAGGGTCTGATTGCCGAAGGCTGGCGGTTGTTGCAGGAAGTCGCCCAGGGTTTAAGGGTTTAGGGTTAGGGTTTAGGGGCTGGGATTCCAAACTCCACCAGCCTTTGAGAAGGATGTGTGCCAAACCCTAAACCCGAAACCCTAAACCCTAAGCCCTAAACCTCCACGGGCAGGGAGGCGGCTGGGGAAATCCCTAGCCCTCGCGTACCCCCGAACCCCGACTTCCTCCAATCGCGAACGTTTCAACACTTACAACAACCCCTCCCTCTGTCCGTAAACCCCTCATCCTTAATTAAGGGTTTAGGGTGTAGGGTTTAGGGCTTGCGGTTCAGGATTTAAGTTAGGGTTTAAAAAGCTAAACCGACAAACCCCTACAACTCTTAGTTCATGAAGGATGCCTTCACCAAGCTTCTTTTCGCTTGCACGGATTCGATGAGGTGCCTCGCGTAGGACTCGGTTTCGGGTTTTGGGGTTTAGGGTTTAGGGTTTCGGGTTTAGGGTTTAGGGCTAGGCCCCTACACTCCCAGAGTAGGCCCTCATTCCCCTTTTTGTTTAGGGTTTAGGCTCCCTCGTAAGCCTCTTTCTACTGAAAAGGGCACCCATGTTATTCCAAGGTTACTTTTGTGTTTAGTCACCGTTTCCGTGGTTCTCTTTTTGTCTACAGGGTTTGTTTGGGTTTTAGGTAACCTTAAACCCTAACCCCCAAACCTTCCAAAAGTGGCCTTTCAGAGTTCAGGCTGTGGGGTTCAGGATATGGTGCAGGGCTAAGCCCTTGAACCCAGCAGATCCTGAGGTCGTAAAGATGCAAGAGTCTTATGGTTCAGGGGTTCTGCTTGGTAACTGGATCCTAGGGTTCGGGGTTTATGGTTTAGGTAGGGTTTAGGATTTTAGGTTCAGGGTTTAGGGTTCAGGATTCAAGGGTTTAGGGTTTAGGGTTTAGGGTTCAGGGTTTCGGGTTTCGGGTTTCGGGTTTCGGGTTTCGGGTTTCGGGTTTAGTGCTGAGGGTTGAGGATCCATGATCAGAAAACCGCTCGACACGCCAGTGCAAGGGTTGAGGGTTTAAGGGCTCCGGCTTTAGGGATTTACGGCCCTAAACCCTAAATCCTAAGCCCTTAACTCTTAACCCTTAAGGCTTAACCCTAAACCCTAAATAGCCCTAAAGCTTAACTAGGGTGTTTGTAGTGGATCCTCCAAGTGTGGTGCAGCTTAGCCACAGATGAAGAAGAGGATCGCCCCGCCCAGGGTTTAGGGTTTAGGGTTTAGGGTTTAGGGTTTAGGGTTTAGGGTTTAGGGTTTAGGGTTTAGGGTTTAGGGTTTTCAAACTCAGCTGCAGAGGTACACACTGTTCTTCGATGACGTCCGTGAAGGACGTCCGCAGGGTGAAGAGGTGCAGAGAACTGGGAGCCTGGAGAAGTTCCAGAATGTGAACAGCGAGCTGACCGAGATCTCCCTGAGGAAGACCCTGGTCTGCTGCACCCTAAACCCTGAACCCTGAACCCTGAACCCTAAACCCTAAACCCTAAACCCTAAACCCTAAACCCTAAACCCTAAACCCTACGCACCAGAACCTCCTCAATCCTAAAACCTGAAACCCGGACCTCCCTAAGCCCTACAAAAACCCTGAAATCTCTGGATCTCCGAATCTATTTTCCATTGTTTTTGATTCAGGGTTTAGGTAGGGTTTAGGGTTTAGGGTTTAGGGTTTGGGGTTTGGGGTTTGGGGTTTAGGGTTTCGGGTTTAGGCTTTAGGTTTTAGGGTTTAGGTTTAGGGTTTGGGGGGGGGGGGGGGGGGGGGGGGGGGGGGTGGGGGCGCGTCCCATAACCGGTAGTAAGGATTGTCGTGGGCGTACCCGTTTTTAGGAAATGCACGACGTGTGCTTGAAGATACGATGCAGCCTTTCATGGAAACATCACGCTGTTGCCCCCCTGACTTGCCCCCCTGACTCCCATATATTTAGCACACGTTTGCTTAAACAACAAGATTTGAGCTTTAGCCGTGTTTGGGCTTCCGCATGACCCTCCCAATCACCGGTTGCTGGAGAAAGCAAATGTGCAACAACACTCACGGTGAATAGCTGACTTGAGGATTGCTCATCATTCCTTGAAAGCAGTCGGGCTTTTCGTACAGTTTAAAGCAAACTCCTCATCAATTGCGGCCATTTCTTAGAAAGGCCTCTTGTCTCAGATACTTTTGAACCCCTAAGTCGTACCCTATACGACAAGTGGGCAATTCTAGCTTAATGGGATAACCCTAAACCCTAAACCCTAAACCCTAAACCCTAAACCCTAAACCCTAAACCCTAAACCCTAAACCCTAAACCCTTCTTGCCTCTTTTCTAAGCCCCCTAATCCCCAATAAGCCCTAGACCCTGACAAGCCACTCCAGGGAACCCGCCCTAAATCTGAACCGTAGACCGTTAGGGTTTAGGGTTTAGGGTGTAGGGTTTAGGGTTTAGGGTTTAGGGTTTAGGGTTTAGGGTTTAGGGTTTAGGGTTTAGGGTTTAGACCCCTAAAGCTTCATGGGCCCTTTATATGGTCCCATACCTCCTTTAAACGGTTCTGCTGTATGGGCCCGGAACTTCTATAGGGTATATTAAGGGGGTGGTCCCCCCGTTTACCCCTGAAAACCTAAACTCTAAACTCCTAACTTGAGATGTTCCCCCTTACACTAACAGCCCTATGATAGGGATGAGTACCCCCCATTAGAATCCCCATTAAGGACTGTTAGTACGAGGGGGAACATCCCAACCCTTAACCCTCAAACCCTAAACCCTAAGCCCCAAACTCCGAGGAACGAGTCGGGGGGGCACGACAAGCCCTTGCGCAAGCAAACGAGGCGTCGAGCCACTCAGTAGCGCAGTGGTACCCTTTACCCTTTTTTGGTTCAAGTTCCCCTTATAAAGAACCGACTTTAAAACCGGGGTGCCCTTAATATAATTGCCCTAAACCCTGAACCCTGAACCCTGAACCCTGAACCCTAAACCCTAAACCCTAAACCCTAAACCCTAAACCCTAAACCCTAAACCAACCTCATTATTGTATGGTTGCTGGGCTACCAAGGCTACTGTCGTGGGCGACGACGAGCAACTGCAGGAGGAGCAACCCTGTCCCGCTCACAACAAAGAGGTGGGGACTTGGGGGAGATGGAGGGGTTGAGGGTTTAGGGTTTACTGTAGGGTTTATAGGGTTCAGTCGGGGGTTTGGCAGGCCTGGCCCAAAGCCCTATGGCCAACAAATGACACCGACCCCCAAGCCTTGAATCCCCGGCGTCGCTCCTAGGACTTCGCGCTTGTGGCTTTTAGGGTTTATAGGGTTTAGGGTCTACATGGTCTAGGCTTGGGGCTTATACATGGTCTATTTAGGCTTCGGGACACCCCCCAAACAACTATCTGCCCCAAGAATCCTTGCCAAGCCTTGCAAAAACATGGTACACCCTAGAAAGAGCCATCTGCCAAACAGCCACGCATCCTTGCCCCAAAACCCTACGCCCTAAACCCCAAGCACCAAGCCCTTAGCCCACAATCATCCCTGAACCGCCCAAATTACACCGTGATCCTCTAAGCCCTAAACCCCTAACCCCTCCTCAACCCGCTGAACCCCCTTGGCCGCCCGGTGGTACCCTTTTCCCTTGTTTCGGTTCTGGGCTCCCTTATAAAAGTAACCAACGTAAAAAAAGGGTGCCCTTATTACAATATGGTTACTGGGTTACCAAGTAAACCCTAACCCTAAACCCTAAACCCTAAACCCTAAACCCTAAACCCTAAACCCTAAACCCTAAACCCTAAACCAGCCCCTCGAAGTGCCCCAATCTCAAGGGCCTTTGGGGGCAGGTCAAGATCTTGGCCGCACGGCGCTTCTCCTTGCTCCGCATAGTCACGCGTGCGAACGCATTGGTCCTTCAGGTGCCAAGGAGATTGGCGAGGGTTTAGGGTTTAGGGTTTAGGCAGGGTTCAGTGATCAGGGTTTAGGGTTGAGGGTTTAGGGTTTATAGGGTTTAGGCTTCAGGGTTTAGGGTTCAGGGTTTAGGGCTTAGGGTTTAGGCCTTCAGGGTTCATTCGGGGCTGCGGGCTGGCCATTCCCAAGAGACATTCGCCAAGAACCTGTAGAGTAGGGAGCTCACGGAAGCTTCGCATTTATCGCGGTTGAATGCCGTCCTTGGGATTTAGGGTTTAGGGTTTAGGGCTACTATTTAAGGGTTTCATTGGTCCTTTATGTGGTTCCTTACCTCCTTAAAAAGGTTCTCAAGTACCTGCCCCTAATTTGTATAGGGTATATAATTACGGGGTATAAGGGTCCCCTTTTCAGGGCCCATAAGACATTAACTCTAGCCCGAAGCCACACACAACCTCTAGATTGCCCTCCTTGTACCAGAAAGGGTTCGGGCTTAGGTTTTATTTTTTAGGATGTCCGGCCTAGCCCTGAACCTTCAACTGATCCTAAACCCTAAATCCTAAACCCCCTAAACCCTAACTCTATAACCCTATAACTCTTTAACCCTATAACCCTATAACCCTTGACCCTAATCCCTAAACCTACTAAACCCCAAAACCCCACTGCAGGTGCACGTTGAGAAGCTGCTCATCGGCATGGTTGTCGTCACCGTGCTGTGCCTTGGAGCACTCTGTGAAAGTCATGGGGCTCTGCCTCGGACCCCTAAGGTTGTACACTGTACACTTGGGTTTGGGGTTTAGGGTTCAGGGTTCAGGGTTTAGGGTTTAGGGTTTAGGGTTTGCGGACCCTTCAGAAAGATCCTCTCTGGGGAAGATAAGGACCATAGTGGGGGTGGGGTGGGGGGGGGGGGGGGCATATTAAGGGCCTATGACTCGCTCGAGAAGGGCGCCACCGGCTCGAAGGTTTTGGGGTTTTGGGTTTGTTGTTGAGGGTTTAGGGTTTAGGGTTTAGGGTTTAGGGTTTAGGGTTTAGGGTTTAGGACTCAGCATTCCAAGCCCTTGGTATCGATCATTCTCCGACCCACCCGTTAGATGCCATGACATTTCGGTTTAGGGTTTAGGGTTTAGGGTTTAGGGTTTCGGGTTTAGGGTTTAGGGTTTTCATGAACCCGAAACCTTAAATTAAATCTCAGGCCCTGACGTTTACGCCTCAAATCCCTAGGGCTTGAACCCAAATCCCAAATCGAAACCCTACAGCTTCAAATCCGAAACCCAGGAAGCCCCTACCCTGCAAAACCCAAATAGCCAAGGCCACAAAGCCCGCTTCCTTACCAATTCCCAGGATACAACCCTAAACCCTAAACCTTAAACCTTAAACCCTAACTTAGTATCCAAAGGTACGTGACCAGCGAAATGCTTCTGGTGGCCTCAGAGGACTCCCTCACCTCGGCGAGCACTTGGGTTTAAGAGGCTGAAGGGGGGGTTTGGCTTTATCATAGGGTTTAGGGTTTCGGGTTTCGGGTTTAGGGTTTAGGGGGTTTAGGGTTGGGGTGTTTAGGGGGTTTGGGGGGGGGGGGGGTTCGGCTTTAGGGGTTAGGGTTTAGGGTTTAGGGTTTAGGTTTTGGGTTTAAGGGCTTTGATGAGGTAGGGAAGTAAGGTTTAGGGTTTAGGGCTGGGTCAAAGGGGTTTAGTATAGGGTTTGGGTTTTGGGGTTTAAGGGATTTAGGGGGCTTTAGGGGGCTTTAGGGGCTTTGCTTAGGATTTAGGGCTGGGTCAAAGGGGTTTAGTATAGGGTTTGGGTTTTGGGGTTTAAGGGATTTAGGGGGCTTTAGGGGGCTTTAGGGGCTTTGCGGGCTTTCGGGCTTCTGGGGTTTTACAGGTTTGGGGTTTACAGTTTGGGAAGGCGTTTAATGAAGTGCAGGCTTTGCGGGTTTGGGGTTCAGAGTTGAGTTACCCTAAGCCTTAAACACCCTTCAGGGTTTGAAGATGTCTTAGGGCTGTAAAGGGAGAAAGGGCTTACGGTCTTGGCAGCGGGTTCAGAGGTTCCTATCATTTAGGGTACAGGGAACCCCCCTTTGAAGAACCAATCAAAGGGGTTTGGGATTTAGGGTTTAGGGTTTAGGGTTTAGGGGGTGATTGCCGGAAGCCTCCACGTCCGTACAGATCCACACTGCTGTGCTGCGGGCTGCAGCACTACCCCCTAAGTGCTAAAGCCGAAACCCTAAACCCTACACCCCTAAAGCTTATCAAGCCTTAGACCGCCCTCAACCCCAAAACCAAGAGATCCCTCAACCGCCCCCCCCCCCCCCCTGGTTGTCATGTTCCCCCCTATACTCACAGTCCTACATCGGGATTATAGGACCCCCTATTATAATCCCTTTCAAGGACTCTTAGTTTAAGGGGGAACATCCCAACCCCCTGCCATCAACGGAGTAGGGGAAGTGGAAGAACCCTAAACCCTAAACCCTCAACCCTCAACCCTAAACCCTAAACCCTAAACCCTAAACCCTAAACCCTAAACCCTAAACCCGGACCCTATACCCTAAACCCTAAACCCTAAACCCTAAACCCTAAACCCTAAACCCTAAACCCTAAACCCTAAACCCTTGCTGGGTACCTGGCCACCACCAAGCTGAGGCATCGTTTGCCTCAGCAATCTCTTGGCCATCTTCGTCCTGGTGTTGAGCATCTTGGTGGCCCAGTGGTATCATTTGTTGCCCCTTTAGGGTTTAGGGTTTAGGGTTTAGGGTTTAGGGTTTAGGGTTTAGGGTTTAGGGTTTAGGGTTTAGGGTTTAGGGTACCCTTATTGTAGTACGGCAACTGGTCTACCAAGGCATTCTCAACAAACTCGTCGCGTTGAACCAGATGTTTCGCGAAGACACGCTGAAGGTTTTGCAGTCTTGGAACCTCGGACATCCTCGTAAATCCTTACATGCGGCTAAACCCCAAACCCTAAACCCTAAACTCTAAAACCCTAAAACCTAAAAAACCCTAAAACCCTAAAGCCCGAAAACCCTGACCCTAAACCCTAAGCCCTAAACTCTAAACCCAGAACCCTCCAACTCCGAAACCCTCAACCTCACAATGGTTGGGACGTGAGATCTGCGCGACCCTGCACCCACCTGCCAAAGTGTCTCTTGTCAAGAGTCTTTCCCTAAACGCCCAAGACCCCAAATATTCAGGCCCGTGGGTTCAAAATGATCCTATAAGGGTCCATGTACCTTATCGTTATAGACGTGGGCCCCAAATTCACGATATCGGAAGGACATTAAGGCCCAAGTATTCCCTACTGATGTACATGGACCCTTAGGGTCATAGGCCTTAGGGTTTCATGCCCCTATAGGAGACTTAGACACAGCGAGGTGTTAGGGGTTATTGGGCTTAGGGTGGGAGGATTGAAGACTTCTAAGGCCCTTTCTGATTGAGGGTTTAGGGTTTAGGGTTTAGGCTTTAGGGAACCTTAAGATGGCCCTCTACCGTGTTTAATGAGTTCTGAAGTATGTGCCCGTGGGCTTTATAGATTAGACAAGGGGCATGTACTGTATATCAGGCTTCTCCGATTCAGGGCGTATTCACCCGAAGAAACCATAGGCCCTAAACCCGAAAGTCCCGAGGAAAAAGAAGCTGGATCGCCTGCACTTTGAAGTCACTACCCTAAGAAACCCTTAACGTCCCGAGGAAAGAGAAGCTGGATCGGCTGCGCTTCTTAGCAGCTGAATGAGTACACTTTACACGTTTTGGGATATCATAGTCCCCTATAGAACTGATCGTGTGCACTTTTGTGGGCTTAGGGTTTAGGGTTTAGGGTTTAGGGCAAGTTTAGGGTTTAGGGCCTGAGGGTTTAGGGTTTAGGGTTCAACCCAGGCTTTGAAGTCACCCTGGACATGCCAATCGGCTCCGCGCGCACGCACATGGACAGTTTTTTCCTCAGCCTGCTTGATCCTGTGACGGCTCCCTGGGACGAAATCAGCTTGGGTGTGGGGTTTAGGGTTGGGTTTAGGGTTTAGGGTTTAGGGGTTGTAGGGTTTAGAGTTTAGGGTCTAGTGTTTAGGGTTTAGTGTTCAAGGTTTAGGGTTCAGGGTTTGGGGTTTAACGTCGTGGCGTCCCAGGGCAACAACGCACCCTCTGCCTGAAATCCGACACCTCATTGAGAGTCCTGCTTGACGTCTTTCCTTGTTTAGGGTTTAGGGTGTATAGGGTTTAGGGTTTAGGGATGTTACATGGTCTGAATATGGTCCCTTACCTTCTTTAAAGGGTTCTGAAGTAGTACACTCCCTTGGGTTTAAGAGGGTATATCAGGGGCATATTAGGATTCCCCCAAAAGGGGCATATTAGGATTCCCCCAAAGAGGGGCCCATATTAATTAAGGGGCCATGTAACTGCCCCAAGATCGTTGGGCTGTCTGGTTTTCAGAAAGTGAGTCTAGGATCTCTAGGAATGACAAGCTGTGTTGAGCCTTTATTGCATCACTTGCTTCGTGAGAAAGGTAGGACGCAAAACCCTAGACCCCTAACCCATGAGTCCCAAAGGATATGGTCGACTTCATCAAGAACTGGCAGCAGCCAATCTCACTCTGCGGTGTTGAGATCACGAGCACCAAGCGCAACCAGGCGCTACGTCTCGGTCTCCGTCTTCGTCGGCAAGCCCTCCTTTTTAGGGCTCAGGGTTTAGGGATTAGGGATTAGGGATTAGGGTTTAGAGTTTAGGGTATGCCCTGAGTCCGAAGTGTAGGATTCCAGTGTGTGTGTGTGTGACCCTACGCCCTAAACTTTTACCAAGCGTCTCAACGGGTTGCAGGGCACGAGTCGTAAGTGCATGCTGATGCTTGGGTTTAGGACTTGGGGTTTGGGGGTTTAGGGTACATCGGTACCCTAAACCCTAAACCCTAAACCCTAGGTGCTGGTACCCATGCTGAGCGGCGTCTTCTACATTCTGGGCCGGGCGCTGATGCAGGCTGGGGCCTTATACTTAGGGTTTAGGGTTTAGGGTTTAGGGTTTAGGGTTTAGGGTTCAGGGTTCTGGGTTCAGGGTTCAGGGTTTAGCGTTTAGGGTTTAAGGCTGATACTTGGTGTTTTGTTTTTACACCTGTAGGGTGTTAGGGTGTATAGGGTGTAGGGTTTAGGCCTTATAGGGTTGCAGGGTTCAGGGTTGGGTGTAGGGTTCAGGGTTTAGGGTTGTTGGATTGTAGGGTCTCAAAGCCTCCCTGGACTCTCTGGACTTACGAAGCTCCTGCAAAACCCAAGACCTGCCAGCAAACCCCTTTCAAATCCTCATAAACACGAACCCTCCCCCCCCCCCCTCCCCCAGGCGCAGACTGTGGACCAAACCGTGGTTCAGGGCATCGAATTTTGGGCTTGGGGTGTTCGGGTGTCCGCGTTTCGTGAGGAAATGAGGTTTGAAATGGGATTTAGGCTCAGGGTTCACGGTGTTTATGTAAGAGTGCAGGGTTCAGGGTTCAGGGTTTAGGGTTTAGGGTTAGGGTTTAGGTTTAGGGTTTAGGATTTAGGGTCTTGGGTCTAGGGTCTAGGGTTTAGGGTTTAGGGTTTAGGGTTTAGGGTTTAGGGTTTAGGGTTTAGGGTGAAGTGTAACGGGGCAAGAGCTAGAGGAAAGGGTTAGAGGTCTTCTGCAGGGGATTTAGGGGTTGGGGCTATGCAAGGCCGGCATCCCGAGCCCCTTCAACCTTTCGGGCCCAGATCCCAAACCCTAAACCCTAAACCCTAAACCCTAAACCCTAAACCCTAAACCCTAAACCCTAAACCCAAACCCTAAACCCTAAACCCTAACCCCTAAGCCCTAAACCCTAAACCCTGAAACCCTAAGTCCTCGAACCCGAAGTCTCCAAATCCAGAACCTTAAACCCTACTATTTCCCTCAGGCCCCAAGGCCCTCAACCCTAAGCCCGAAGCCCTCAGCCCTAACTCGAAGCCCTAAGCCCTAAGCCTTAACCCCAAGCCCCAAGCCCCAAGCCCTAAGCCCTAACCCTCTTCTTGGTGGAGCCTCTGCAGGTGAACTGGGCCAGCCGCCTCGAGGCAGGGTTTTGGGTAAAGGGTTTGCAGGGTTTCGTTGGGAAATGAGGCTTGGTATTCTAAGCCCTAAACCCTAGCTAAAGCCCGAAACAAGTAAACCCTTCACCCTAAACCCTAGAGTCCGGTCAATCTCATCAAAGAAAGGCTACCTAGGAGCGTCAGTGCATGCTGGGGTTGAGGGTTCTAGGGTTCTGGGGTTCTGGGGTTTAGGGTTTCGGGTTTTGGGTGTAGGGCTTAGGGTAACTGTAAAGCCTACAGCCTAAACCCAAAAAAACCTAAAACCTATAAACCCTAAACCCAACCTCAACCCCTAGACCCCTGAGCCCCCCCGAAGCCTAAACCTGCAGGTCATCGCACAGCAGACAGCTGGTGTTGAGCTCCTTGGTTACCCAGTGGTACCCTTTTTCCCTTTTTTGGTTCAAGGTTCCCCCATAAAGTAACCACCCCCAAAAAGGGTTGCCCGTATATTAGTATGGTCACTGGGCTACCAAGGCTCGGGCAACTGGGAATCACCTAAGGCCTTAGATCTCGTAGAACCACCCTCTTAGCCAACGTCCCGAGCTCAGGGCGCGGTTTTAGGGTTTTGGAGTTTTCCCGGCTTATAGGACAGTGCCCCGCAAGCCTAAAACCCTTAAACCCTAAAGCCCCAGACCCTCACATCCGCACATCCTTGAAGCTCTTAATAGGCCCCAAAACCCTCCACTACAACCCTCAAACCGACGACCCCCCCCCCCCCCCCCTAATTTTAGGGTTTATAGAGTTTGGGGGTGTATCTCCCCTGAACCCTACAGTAAGCGCAACCCGCGTGAACAAACACTCGTGCCAGAGGCTGGCAGTATGCACGGGGACCTACGAAAAGCAGCAGGGTTGAGGGCTTAGGGCCTTGTATAGTAGAGTTGCGAGGGCCTTAAACCAGGTCATGAGTCATGAATATCAATATTGCAACCTGAACCTCAAGAGATGCTGTGGCTTTTGTTGACTCTCACCGCGCAAACCGTCCCTGAGCTCGACACGTGCCAAGATTTCGCCAAACAGCCATAGACAGCTGAACAAGCTTCAGTTACATGCTGTGGTAGCTTGTTTGCAGGGACCCGAAGAAAGACCGTTTGCCTCATATCTCCTACAACCTGACTGTATTTGGGGATTTGCTTCAGCATCAACATTCTTCGGCCCCCCCTTATTTCGAGTTTTGTGAGATGGTGCTCTTACGCATTGCTAGTAATCCTGGGCTTGAACGTCCTTCTGCTGAGCGACCACGCTGCAGCAATCTTTACCCTATACTTCCAGGGACCCTGGTAGTTAGGTTAAGGGTTTAGGGTTTAGGGTTTAGGGCTTAGGGCTTAGGGCTTAGGGCTTAGGGCTTACGATTTGGGGTTTATTGTTTAGGGTTACGGCATGAGAAGTAGGTCCGTGGAAGTACAGGGTGGGCACAAGGGCAATTTCCAGGCAGATTTTTGCACATTTTGCGCTAGGGCCGCATGCTTTTGCGTCAGGTGCGGAATTGCATTAGAGACTGGCGAAGCAGAGCTGGTAATGTGGCGAGGAGCGCCGACAATGGAACATGGCAAAACCTCTCCTACGAACCCGAAACCCTAAACCCGAAACCCTAAACCCTAAACCCTAAACCCAAAACCCCAAAGTCCAAACCTCAACCCAAGACTACGTCAAGAGGGGGTGTCAGCATTCCAGCGACGGGCCAGAGAGACGCATAAGCCATGGGATTTGGCCTCCCCAAAAGGGGTAAAGGCGACATGCTCGAATGGACCAAGGTTCAACGGAAGGTTGAAGCTCTAGGGTTTAGGGTTTATAAAGGGTTTAGGGTTTAGGGTCCATTGGCATACTCCAGTGCGGCAAGGGTAGCTTCTAGATTGAAGAACCGGAATTCAGCAGTGCTTTGAGGCCCTTCGAGACCTGATCTTGCAAGTCAAGAGCTCGCGAGACAACATTTGCAGCTACCAAAGGGGTTAGGCCTTTTCCCAGCCCCCGACATCTGGGAGATTCACTTAGCACATATCGTAGACCCAGAGTAGGCCCTTATTGCCTTTTTTTAGCGTTGAGCTTCCCTTAAACTCCCTGTAAACCAAAAAGGGTACCCTTCTTTATTCCTAGGTTACTCTTGGGTCTAGTATCTTTCAACACCTCAAACCTCACCTAGGCTTTGGGGTTTTGAGATGTGTTTAGTACAGAGATTTTGGGTCGAGGGTCCCGGCCCTATAATTGATCCTGAACCCCAAAACCCCAAAACTACTCGAGTCTTCCGGTGCGTAGTGCGAGAAAGCTTGCCAAAAGCCCAGATTTGAATTCTGCAGCCCCCGAAGAAACCCCCCGTAACCTGCATAGCGAGGGTTCAGGGCTTTCCCTTCTTTAAAGGGTTCTGAAGTATGGGCCCTTGGGTTTTTGCGGGGTATACAAGGGGTATATAAGTTTTCCCATACAAAGGGGCCATGCAACTGCCCTAAGATTTGGGGTTTAGGGTGTAGTTTTGGGGGGATTTGGAGTACAGCCTGAGGGGTACTTGGAACTGTTGAAGAAGCATCCATTATATTGCGTGGTGGTCTCTTTAAGTAGGGTTTCTGTTTTGTAAGGGGGTTCTTATTCGGGTATCTAGGGGCTATATTAAGGTATAAGGGTAACAGACAAAGAGGCCACCGGCCTTTTTAAAGCATCCACCTCTGCCCAGAACCAGCTCGAGCTGTGGGACATTGCCAAGGGTGAGAGGATCAAGGCCAGCCATGAATCGAAAAGCACCATCTAGATCACTTGGGGCTTAGGGTTTAGGGTTCATGGGGTTGAGGAAGGGTCGACCGTAAACCATGGATCGAAAACAGCAACACAATCTTGGTCATCAGGGTTTAGGTGGTGACCCAGATGATCCTGAAATCCATGAAAACCCGCGGCCCCCTACACGCCCCAAAGCCCCCCCCCCTAAAGCCCCCTAAAGCCCCCTACAGCCCCCCTACACCCCCCTACAGCCCCCTACAGCCCCCTAAACACCCTAAGCCCTAAACCCCAAACCCCTTAACGCCCCCTGAACACCCTAAGCCCCAAAGTCCAAACTCCCTAAAGCCCCCTAAGCACCCTAAGCCCTAGGACCTAAACCCCAGACCCCCTAAAGCCCCCTACACGCCCTAAGCACTGGAGGGGCCGAAGCAGCCCCCTGAGTTTTATGGGTGCAACCACACGCTTTGGCAAGAGAACGCTGGCTCTTTCAGGTTATGGTCAGGGTTTAAGGTTGAGGATTCAGGGTTTCAGGTTTGGGGTTTAGAGTTTAAGGTTTCGGGTTCAGGGTTCAGAGTTTCAGTTTAGGGTTTAGGGTTTAGGGTTTAGGGTTTAGGGTTTAGGGTTTAGGGTTTAGGGTTTAGGGTTTAGGGTTTAGGGTTTAAGGCTCAGGGTTTAGGGTTCACACAATGATCTTCGTCTCGGACCTTGTTTGCAACCGGGGACAGCGAGGAATCCTTGAAGGTGAGTCCAGGTTTAGGGTTTGGGATTCAGGGTTTAGGGTTTGGGGTTTGGGGTGTGGGGTTTGGGGTTTGGGGTTTTGGGTTTAGGGTGACCCAGGGTAGGCCCTTGTTCCCTCTTCTTGAGGGTTTCGGTGCCCTTATAAGTCCCTTTAAGCCGAAAAGGGGACCCTTGTTATTCCTAGGTTACTTTTGTGTCTGGTTCCAACCCTAAACCCCCAACCGCCTAAGCCCTCAAACCCTCCTGCGCAGGTGTTGCCGTGGCGAGGCAAAGGGATGGAGGCAGAGGGAACCAGTGCTTCGGCGTTTAGGGTTTAGGGTTTAGGGTTTAGGGTTTAGGGGGTCTCTAAGCGTCTAGTGGCTCTCCCTTTTTTACTACTATGTCTTCAGGTTCAACAAGCCCATAGCAAGGCAAATCCTAAGCCCTCAACCCTAAACCCTAAACCCTGTAAACCCTAAACCCTGAACACTGAACCCTAAACCCTACACCCTACTAAGAAGAGCTTGGGGTTTGTCGGGGCCGGGGGGGGGGGGTTCTTTCGGCTTAGGGTTTTTTGAGCTTGGTGAGCTGCTCAGGACAAGAGCCCGGAAGCCGCAACCTCAAGCCCACATGGCTTTAGACCCTGACCCCTGAACCCTGACCCTCAACCCCTACACCCTCACACCCGAAGCCCTAAACCCTAAACTCTAAACCGGGTTCTGCAGCGCCCTTTGAGTGGGGGACGTGGCATGCCCTTGCCGCAATTTGTAATCTAAGGCCCTACACCTCGAACCTGGGCCTAAAACCTTCAATTCGGCCATCCCGGCGCTCACGCCCGGACAGAAGTGCCAACTAATGGTGTCGATCCAACTTCGATGCAAGGAGCTCCATGGCGCCGATTCAAGAGCCCGCGGAAGATGACGGTTACATCGACCGGAGATGTGGCAGAGGGCCCACTGCAATATACAGGGCTTTTCGTCGGTGATGCCACCAGACGTAGAAAAAAACAAGTGAAGATTCAGCATGTGGACTTTGAACTTAAACCTCGAAATTGCTCAAAATGTTCACTCTACTACGCCATGCCTCGAGGAGCATGCTCACACCGGTAGCCCCCCTACCCCCTGAACCCTCACCTGGACAGACCTGCCCTCTTCCCCGCCTATAACGACTCAGCCCTTAGACTTCCTGGTTTAGGGTTTGGGGTTGGGGGTTTTGTGGAAACCCTGAACCCCAAACCCGAAACCCTAAACCCCTAGGGTTTTATGGTGTGGATGTGTAGTTGAGGTGTAGGTTTCAGACATCCGGCATCTTCACCCAACAGCTACTCGGCTGTTGCGGATATTTAGGATGTTTCTGGTGCACCAGAAGGGACCAGAATGTAGGTAATTGACAACATACCCCTGATTTCCGGAATGTGCCTTAAGTTATACGAGGGATCCTAAAAAAGTAATTGAAGGTATCTTCGTCATGACTTAGGGGGCATTGGGGCTCTTGTGGACCCTAAAACCTCAACCCTGAACACCCGGTCCCTAAACCTGATCGCCAGGAGCCGGCATGCTTCTTGTGCGCCGGGCCGTCGGTGTTTTCATCAGGGCTCACACAATTGAGGTCGCCCTTGTTTCTTTAAGGGGTGATGTAGGGTTTAGGCTTTATAGGGTTATAGGGTTTAGGGTTTAGGGTTTAGGGCTACAGGGTTTCCTATACAGCAGCTTTAGGGCTTCTAGGGTTAATAGGGTTCAGGTTTTAGGGTTTAGGGTTCAAGGGTTTCCTATACAGCAGCCTTCGGGCCCAAGTATATACTATGTGGGTACATGGACCCTAAACCCTAAACCCTAAACCCTAAACCCTAAACGGGTTTAGGGTTTAGGGTTTAGGGTTAGGGCTTAGGCTGTCCCTAAGCTTCCCTAAGATTCCCTAGGTACCTACCCCCATGAACCGCCCCTCCCTCAAGGACCCTATAACCCCTGCAAGGTACACGGCACGGTTCTCAAAGGATCCGCAGAGCTCTCTCATCTGTGCAGGCGGGGCGCACGGCTTCCATGGGCCTGCACGATTCTGACGCCTGCAACCCTCAACCCC